GGCATAAACCTGGCTAAAGTGGTTTGAGCTACCTTCCTCACAAGCCATGGCAGAAGATGGAGCCTCCTTAAGTGCTGCAGCAGACATTTCATGCACAAACATCACTGGGGGAATGTGCCCAAGATCAGGTAACATCCACTATATTGCCTTGTACTATAAAAGCCCCACTGCTCAGCCAGCTGTAGCAGTGCAGCCGTACCTCTTTCAGGCACTGTATTCCACAGATAATAATTTTTAGAAGCCAACTTCAGAATGTTAAATGGTGCCAGGACATGAGCCCAGAATGGAAATTTGCCTGTCCATCTTGTCAGTTTATTAGGATGGGCCATGTAATACTTCTGGTGTGAGGTACACAGGTTGCCTCCAAAAGAAACTAAACTGATCAGTCCTGAAGCCTTTCTAGGTCCATGATTCCCGTTCTGCTGGCCACAGCACTGAACAAGACCCATCTGATAATACTACTTTTTCTCTTGGCTTTTTGTTTTCTTGATTCTCAACTTCCTTTTCTTTGGCCCCTTCCTTTCTTCCTAAGAAAAGAAGTAAGCTTTGTCTAAGGATAAAAATCTGTCTACTCTTTTGCAAGGCAGAAGAAATCTTTAGGGCTTTCAGCTATAAAAATCTAATTTGTCAGTTTCTCCCCCCTCCCTTCCCCATCTCTCTTAATGGATCTCTTATGCATTTATAATGTATTCAGTACCACAGTATCTAGGGACCTTATAAAGAATTTATAGAGCAAACATTTTTTTTGCAAAAAGTTTCTACTTCTCTTCTGGCTATTGCCAATCTGAATCTGTTCTCTTTGATTTGCATAGGAAGCCAAGTTGCCTGTTTTATACTCTTGACACAGACTATCTTAGAGTATTCTGGCTTTGCATTTGGGATAGTAAAGCCAGGTTCACTGGGATTTGTTTTAGCAGTTATTAACTACAGAACTGTCTGTAATAAGCAGAGCTGGCTGCTTTTGTCCATCAGCATCAGCACTGCCATGTCCTTAGCTCTGTGCAGAGTGGTATCTGAGGTAAGAGCCCAAAATGTTTCACTACACCTTGAAGTGACTATATAATTACTCCATAGAGAAAATAATTCCATGCTGGCAAGGAGTGAAATTTTAAATTTCTGTGTCACTAGCTGGAGCTAGTAAGGAGCTGGATGCTGCAGGCACCTCTAGGGAATATCTTCCTCCTCAGTATCCTAAAGATTTCAACTGCTGCTTGCAGGATGATCAACCCCTCACAAATATCTAAGGTGTGTGCCTATGATTGTGTGAGGAAGTCAAACTCCTTCAAGGCCTGAGTATGTAAAGGTGAGCTCTGTAATACCGAGGGCCTTTACTGATCCAGCTTTCTAGTCTCTATTATAATCCAACAGTAACAGTTTGATTTTGACTTCACAAAGCCAACAGACACCAGCTGAGGGCAGTGCTGGTGCAGCAGGTAACACTGATCAATGCCTTGGTGCCTTTCTTGCTCCAAATCAACGGCTGAAATTTTTGCTACACCTGTTTTCCAATAATAATGTATCTGTGTAACAATACCTAAGGAGAAACATTCTTTCAACATTGACAGAGCTATTTGTTTTTATGTCCTATGTAACCAAAAACAATTAGCAAAACTCCCAAACCCTATGCCATGGATGGAGACATATCTTGGGTTGTCTGACTCCATCCAAAGAGCCTTAGAATTATCTGCAGGGCAGCACCGAGGGTGAGCTGTGCTGTTCTCTAGGGCTAGCTCTGGATTTGTGACTGAACAGAAAGGATTTACACAAGTTCAGTAAGAAAAGAACACTGATTAGGAAACTGCAAAATTAATGAATTAAATCACACAGTACAACAGCCAAAATTAAACTCCTTCTGTTAAAAAAAATGCCAACCCACCAAAAGGTGCCACTAAATCACCCTTGTACTCAGCCAGCCAACGTGCCAGAAGAACTGGCCATGCCTTCTTGGCAGCTCTGGACACTGGATTACCACTGAGATACCCACCACCCTTATCACTGCACCACTCTGCTCCACTGCCCACCAAAGTCTTCACTTAACAAGTCCAGGCTTAAGAATGCTGGGACTGTCCCATGAACACCAAGTGCAGGAACCTCCCCAGCAATTTCTGTGAGAAACAGATTTGTCCTCCTCACCATTCTGCAGCAAAAGTTTCCTTCTACTTCCTCTCCCAGGCTTGATCTCACACAGGAACCCTCCACGAACTTGATCTTACTGGAGATAAGAAATTTGACTAACTACAAGTACTCATGTAGTCTTCAATTATATCTCTATAAAATTATGCCTTCAAGTATAAACAGCATTTTTACTAGCTTGTTGAATAAGTGATAAAAAAGACAAGGTGAAAGGCATTAATAATTTAAGTTAGTATTTCTCATTTCTACTAAATTATTAAAATAAAAATATTCCTGGAGTATTTTCAAAATACTCTATTTTCTGTAAACTCTGTTGCAATTTCTAGTTATAAAAAATCTCCTGTGAAGCAAGCTGTATAGCAAACCTCATGTAATTCAAAAGGGAGCACAGAAATCTGGAAAGTGATCAAGACATAAACAAAAAGATGAAATGGAAATGAGCATCCAAAACAGCAAAATATATTTAAGTAGTATCACAAATACACTCAAAAAATCTATTTGCATATCTAAAAACCGTGTATTCAGTAAAAATCCTCCCACAAAAGGTATTTATAAACAAGAAAATGGATCTGATTTTGTTGTCTACTGCTGGCAACAGAGGTGCTTTACCTCTAACAAAGCATTAACTATGCTTTTACAAAATACACAAAATTATTTTGGGAAAAAACGTGTATTCAGTAAAAATCCTCCCACAAAAGGTATTTATAAACAAGAAAATGGATCTGATTTTGTTGTCTACTGCTGGCAACAGAGGTGCTTTACCGCTAACAAAGCATTAAATACACAAAATTATTTTGGGAAAAACTTGAACTGAAGACTGGAAAACAACTACAAGGCATACAAAGCATAAGGAACTGCAAATACATCACTCTAGTAGTGCAAAAATGAAGAATATTTTCCCCCCCCCCCCCCCCCCCCCCAATACTTGTTCAGAGAAAAATACCACTGTGAATATGCAATTTGAACCCCTTTAAAAGATTGACATTTGTAGGACTCAGTGCATTTGCATGTTTCAGCAAGGCTGGTGCTATACAGGAGGTAAATGAAACAAAGTCAACATAAAATCATGCTGGGACACAAGTTTATAACAAACTTTATAGCAAAATGTCTGAATATACAGTACAGAAACAAACCTTGCAAAAATGTTTCTCTCTATCCAGAAATTTGTACATGTTACCACTAAACAACATGTACGTAACTGATAGCATATGCAACATTCTTTGGAATTAGATTGAAATTTCCTTCAAGCCCTGTCTTTCATACAGGAATAGCAGAAGGATAACTCCTCACTTGGATTACAGGAGCTCCCAGTGTTTGTCCCTCAGGCACATGTCTGAGGCTGGGCAGAAACCTGTGGAGAGATATAAGCACCAGGAGCTGGAGAAAAATTCCACCTGGGAATGTGGGTCACTGTAGGATGCCTTGATAGAAGTCAGTGCAGAAGTGAAGAACTGATGAAGTTGAATTCCTCATCATCCATAGCCCTGGTTTGATAGTGTTTGAAACACGACAGTCTCTTTGTCCAAAAAGGCCTCATAATTGGAACAGCTGTAAACATTTCTTTTAAAGTTAGCATTTTCACCATGCCTTTGCAGTAACAAAATCAGAAGTAGGAACATCTTAGCTCATGTTAGAACTACTTCAAATTCAGAAAACCAGAGGTCTATAATTGAGAAAATAGAAACAAATCTGCAAGCACAATTAATTTTGCAAATAGTATTTTTGCTCTCTTTTTCAGCTCTTTATCTGCCTTTCAGCAAACAGCTAAATAACACCCAGTCTATCCTAGGAAAAAATCTAACTTTGGTAAGTAAGCTGGAAACCATTTAACATCCAGAGGAAAAACAGCAGGAAAAACTGTTGCATTTATTCTGCCCAGAGCTAAGTCCATCACTGCACTACATAGCAGATTCCTGTTCACAGATCCAGGAGAGGTCAGGAATAATCCCACATTTTCTTGTTCCCTTTCATGTACAAAAAGAAAGATACAGATGATGTCCATAAAAATTTAATAGCAGCAGGTAGAAACTTACCCATTAACATCTGTCAATTATAATTAGTGGCAAGTGTTATGGTTGATATTTAAAGCTTTTTCAGAACAGAAAGGATTAACTTCTTGACTTCAAATATCCAAAATGTTTACAGGGTTACTATGAGGTATTTATGGGGACTTTACTAAAAATTTCTAAGGCTTAAACTCTAACAGTTTATGATGCAATCAGGAGAACTTCTACAGAAAGAGAAGTCAGAACAATGGTGATTTTACAAACCAAATGTAAAGGAGTCTTTATGCATCTATACTCAAGAGCTGATGACCAGGAATGGAAGACAGTGACTTCTGCAGAAGGCAGTTCTGCTTTTCTGCAACCTGATGGATCCTTGCTCAACCCAACTTCAAGTATCCAGTTTATGTGCTTGAACAAGGAGCTTAGGTACCCAGCTCAGGCTCCAGAGGATAGCTAAGAGGTGCTCTAAGGTTACATAAGGGATTTGTCTGCTCAACCTTTGGCACAGGAAAGCAAAACAACAACAACAACAACAACAAAAAAAGTAATGCCCTCAATCACAGGAAAAGTCATCCTAGAACAGAGACCAAACCAGTCTTCCTCTGGAAATATTTACTTCTCCTTGCTAATGAGCAGTGGAGCACTTCAGGTCACTAGCATGGATTCAGGTATCTGGTTGTTGAACACATGAATTTAAATGAGATGACTCCTACCTCTGGCTCCCACATCAGGAGCTTAAGTTGGATACCTGAAGTAAGGTGGTGTGAGAACCCTCTGTCCTTAGCAACAACTGCCACCCCTTGATTCCCTGACAGAGCTGCAATCACAGCATTTACTCAGAGAAGACCCAAAGGCAATTAGTCTTCGTAGGATATAATTTATCTCTTATTTCTTTACCCCCTTCCCACATTATTGAAGGGGATGGAGACAGGGAAAGCAGTGTGGGAAGCAGTGCCCTGTTAAACAACATTGTGTAATAAATCCCAATGAAGAAACTTAGTGGCTGCCTCTTGTAGGTCTGAGAAAATCACCATTCTGAAGTTGGTGGGTACTAATTGCTTTGGCTGTTGTAGCTCTCATGATTTATTTTGGGAGCTACTGATGGGTATCAGTGTTAGCAGATTCTCTAACTTGGCTGGCTAAAAAGCTCAAATGGCATTAGAAAAAAGCCGTGATGGCAAAGACTTAAAGAGCTACATACTATTTGCCTGTATTTAAATTTAAAAAATATTAATAAGTTATATTTTAAACAAATATCAGCTACTCTCTAACACTTTTATTAAAATACTGATGGAAACAGAAAAAAGTAAACTGTACGTCTACTGAATTGCACACGCATATGCAAATAAACCACCACAAATTGCACTGTCTTAGCCACTTACATGTTTAAACCCTAATTTTCTGTACTTGAGAAAATGACAAAAACATAAAAAAGCTATGCACCTTTTATGACTGAAGGAAAGGATTTCTAGAGTCCCATCCAGCTCTGGAAGGATTAAAATCAGGACCTTCTGGATGGGAGAAAAGACTTAAGGAATACTGAGGATTTCCTCTTCTCCTAAGGGAATAATCCATTCAAACAAACTTTGCTTATGGTTTTAATAGATAATGAACTCTCTGGTCCAACTCTGTACTCAGAACTTCACAGAATCAAGATCCTAGGCACACCAAGGACTTCAGAGAAACATGGAAGGAAGTACACTTGCATTCCCATTTTTTATCTGAGGATTATTTTCTTTGTTAAATTCCTTGGGTTTTGTTTTGCTTTGTTTTTTTCAGAGTAGGTTTTCAAAATACAAACTAGTAAGAGCCTGGAAAACTCAGAATCACCTAACACGTGAGGAAAAAATGTTCACTGAAGTTTTTATTCCATATATAAATTAACTTCTGGGAACGTATGCTCAAAGATCACCAGCAAGATATTTAATGTTGAAAGTAACACTGAATATTTTTAAAACTCACTTCAAAACACACTGTCTGAGAAGTATCAGAGCATTAGAGGGTTGTCTGATTTCTTTGTTTTCCATGGCAAATTTCCACTGATGGCAGCAGAGAACTGAGGCAGGGCACAAGATGTAAAAGCAAATAGAACTAAAGCTTTTTGGTAGCTACTTACATATAGTAGCTATATATTCTGGGGTTTTTTTGGCTCAGCGATCCCACCACATAATTTCAAGCACATGTAAATTGACTGGAGTATTAGCTTGGTTCCTTTCCTGTATTTACCTGTACAGTGAACATAAATCAGATCAGCATTGTGTAACATTCACAGAAGCTCCTGTCCATCAAACTGGTGTCTCTAAACAAAGGCTGCCTTAAGTAAGACATATGAACATGGGATCTGCTCCAAAATGTATGGTCATATTAAATAAGTATCTTACGTATGTACATATAACAAAATTCAAAATATCATAGCTCTATCCTCTTCTGTTTAAAACTGCAATTTCTAACTGTTGCATATACTGTAGCTGCTCAAAAAGCTGAATAAAGTGAGTAGAGCAGACTTTTTCAGAGAAAAATAGTAATAGAAAAAGTTTTAAGTATGGTGCAGTGAGAAAGTTCACAAAGCTCTCACTTCACTTTCTCTTTGGTTGCTGATTAGGATTTGACGAGTTTGAAGCCCTGTCCTGTATCCAGCACTGTGGGAAGAAACCATCTCATTTTCAATCTTTTTAAGCACCTAAAGCACGCTTTACAGACCCAGAAGAGATTGAGACCACAAAACCAGTTTGCCAGATGTACTAATGGGTAGGTGATGCGTGGGAAGTACATCATCCAGTGTTTGGCAACATCACTTCCCGTTGGCAAGTGCAAAGTGTAGTCGCTCCAGTGCTTTGAGACACCATACATGGCCTTCACCGTGCGGCCCTTCTCCGACCAGCTGATGCTGCTGTCAGGGTTACAGTTGTACTCAACCCACTGCCTGGTGAAGTCACCAAGCTGTGGAGGGTCTGCTTCCTCGATGTCTACAACTCTGGCCATTTCTGCTCCTTGCACAGCAACATACTGGTCATTTACTTTTTTTACTTCTTTAACCCAAGGCTGAGAGTTCTCACAGTCTAAAACAATGATCAGTCGAGAACAAAAAGTGCCGTTCTTTTCTCTCCACCACTCCAACAGCGTGTCAAGTCGTAAAGCATCACCCCCTGCCACAAGGAAAAAAAGATTTAATATCAGGATGAAGAAACAGAAACTTCTGCAGAACTTTAACTGTTTTCACTGGTTCTAAGAATCCCTTCCTTTAACAATTTGGACAGATGCTTCAGATGCTGTCAATTAATCCTTTCTGTCTGTAAGTGTTGCATATCTCCATAGAGCTAATAACTGACTTGCTGTGGCAGACAAAGCCATTAACTTACCCTTGATTAGAAAGAAAACCCATCAACAATAACAAAAAAGGAATTCCTTTACAGAGTGAAAGAAATTATAGTCAATTGATGAAATCTGGAAAATACAGATAAACAGGGAAAAATCTGAAATAAAGTTTATTTTGTATTAAATCTTAATAATTTTAGGAACAGGAATAGGAAACTTTTAAAATATGTTTTTATGAATATTACAAAAAGGCCCCTCTAAGACATGAATTTAGAAGAAAATACATTTTCAAATGGTGGAAATCAAAGCAAGCACAAAAATTCACATGACCAGGAATGAAGAGACTATCTCTATAGAGACAGATGTTTGCAGAGCTTCAAGAAAACTGGTATTGATTTACAACTCAATGAAACAAAAATCTCATTGGAACTTTTCCACAATATTTTTTTCCTGTCAGGTCAGAAGACCCTTGCAACTAGTGTCCAACTTTTCATGCTCTGTCTCAGCTCCAGTTCCAACAGCACTTTGAAAGAGGAGATTGTAATTAAACCTGAAATATTATCCATAGTGGGAAGTCTTTCTGCTTAAGTGTACTGGATGCTGCAGGATCTATGTAGCTTTAAAAGGCAGACTACTTACTCAGGTACCTAAGGACAACATCTTGCAAACAACTCTCCATTTTCTCCCCAGTGATACTAAAGTAAAGAACTGGTATGCCTCAGTTCTGGCTAGCTGAAGCCACGATACAGGTTTACAACAAAACCACTCAAGTTTCAAAACATCAACTTAAAAAAATGAAGAAGAAGAAAGGTATTTAAAATAAGTGAATTTTAATTCCAGAATGATTTTTCACTAGTGAATATAATTAAGCAGTGTTAAAAAAGTTGTTAGCTGCATGTTTCAGCATGTTACAGTTCTACCTGTAAGCGGTGACAGAAAAGTGCTTCAAATTAATATCTCAGAGTTAAAGCATTGTGCATACTATTGTAGTTAAAGAAAAGCAAAATTACAGAGCTGCACATTTCTCCAGGAATATGAAAATCCGGCAAATTCTGCATCAGAGAAAATCTCTAGGATACAAACCTGAAGTAATGACTTGTCTTGGCACATGATCCTCAAATTGCAGTAGTTATTTACAGCACAGACTTATACAGAAGTAGTTTTCCTTTTCTAGGTACCTCTTTCATGTCAATTATCTTTAAGAATTTCTTTATTTGTTCACATTTTAAAGGCTTATAAATAAACTTTAATAAAGTGTAGCTATGTAGGAGTGCAGGTGATTTCAAAACAGCATTGAATAGAATCACTCAAAGAAAACCATCTCATCCTTCACAGATACAATCAAACACAGGCTTAGCTTCCAACACTATGGACCTCAGACACTTGGGCTTATCACCCAACACAAGGTTTGGGCTCTAAGCTGTGTAAGAAATGCAGGTGTCTGGCCACCTCTGGCTCTCTGGCAGGTTTAGCAGGACAACAGATACGCCAGCAGTTTCAGGAACAGAGAGAAAGATTTACTAGCCCAGCTCATGCCTTTGCCTTCATTCAGACAAATGAAAGCAGGTCATTTGACTGCTCATACTTCATGCATGACTAGTTAACAGTTTATTTTATACACCACTGTGCTGAATCTCAGCTTCCAACAACAGAGAAACATCATTACTGAATTAATTAATTCAGTAAGCCTCATTTGCAATATGTCATTACAAAGCAAAGACTACACTGCTACTACTGTGCTGTACCATGGCATAAGCCAGCAATGTGAAACTACTTCTTTAATCAGATTTTTTTTTTTCATTGTTGTCATCTCTTTTCATCCTCTTTACAGGTCAGAGGATAGTACACATTGCTGGAACTGATGGCCAAGGTTCCATCTGTCACAAAACACCAGTGTCCAATACATGGGGCACAAGTACAGCCTTTATATTTTCAGTTTATACTTTCAAGGTACATGTGGGAGCAGTGATACCTGGAAGGAAGATGATATTACATTCCATCATTTAACTAAAATGAACCACAAAAAAAGCATGCAAGACCTATGACAACTGCCTATTCTCCTTTATGTGACTGTACACGTATCCATGTCGAAGCTGAAGAAGTGTTTGGACAGCGAACTGAAAAGGAGCTTTGTGAGCAAGTTGAACACCACCGTATTTACACACTGTATCTTTCAGCACTCAAGTTTTAACAGTTACCTTGGCCTTTCTCCTAAAGGCTAGATATTAATTTAGGTTACAGCTACCTACAAGCTACAGCGAGACCTGCACTCCCCAGTCACACTCCAGGGTGGCTAGATGTAGTAAGCCAGGACCGGGGTGGAAGCTCTCCAATTTTTACAGCAACATTTGGCCCTATGCATGCATGAAAGCTGACTTTGTCTATGCTGCTGGCTGGAGGACAGGTGGGAGGTGGAATTTTGCTGATAGTCTGCTCCACACAAGGTGTGGACACACTCAGCAATTGCACAGGGTGGCAGCTGCCCTTATGGACAAACCACCCCCTTCTCAGAGAAGTTAAATGGCCACACTACATACACTGTAGCTCACCACTTGCACTAAGCTCATAGTAAAAGCTGTGGCTTTTAAAAATCACTGATACAGATAAAGCCCTTGAGAAAAAACACACATTGCTCTTCAGCAGCTCTAAAGGTTCAGGGATGGAACTGCACCAAAACAGGTACAGAGCCTCCAGATGGAAACTGACCCGTGCCTGAACACCCACCTCAGCATGAGCACACAACGAAGGGCATGCCCTACTGAAGGGCACATGCACCTGGAGAAACACTGCTGACAAAGAACCAGGAGCTCACAGACAAAGTGCTATCCAAGAGAATTAATTCTACCCCAGGAAGAAAAAAATTACAAATTTTCAATGTATTTACTATGAGATTCCTGTTCTGTACACAGTAACCTCAGCTCCCTACAGCAGCAGAGCAAGGTTAAACCTTGCAATGATTTGACAATTTCATTAAGTTTCCCAAACAAACGGGCCAAGAAAGGGGGAAATAGTGAAGTCTATGCCAAGCATATGACAAGGCATTAAACTGGCACTTTAAATAGAGGTTTACAATCTTGAGGCTACACTATGCCCACAATCGCTCCCCAAGTCCACAGTGTCAGCAAATCATACCTTTTTTTATGATACAAGGTTTGTTACATGTTTGAAGACCTGTTTTTGTAGTATGGATAATGTATCTGCCTCCTGTTTCTTTTACTGATTCTTTTACAAAAAAAAGCAAAGCACATCCTAAAGACATACATGCAGTCCTTTGTGACAGTCTAACTGACACAGTGTCACAGAACACTCTGTAATTCAGTCTGTCATTTCCAAGGAATGAGAAAAGATTATGCTTGTTCATTAGTGTGAACAAGTGACAAATATTCCTCAGTGAACAAATATTCCTCAAAATCCAGGGAAAAATTTGTCTTTAGAGCAGGAGTGTGTAATTTCCACTTTTAGTTCCACGCGGGGGAAAAAGGCAATCTTTGAAGTTAACTTGTTGAATACAAAAATCATGTGCGAGGAAAATCAGGGGAATATGAAACTGTGTTTGAACTTGAAAGAATACATTTTGAGTCAATAATACTAGACAATTTTGAGAATAAGTGTAAGATTAGTCGGCTGTAAAAGGATTTTTATCAAAGTTGGTAAATGCTAAAATGACATAAAAGTTCATAAAGTAACACACCTGACTGCCATGCAACCCAAGAGAAGGAAAGAGCTACCTCTTAACAATAACTTACCTGCATACCAAAGGGGATTCTGCATTTCTCCATTCTCTCCACTAGCAGAGGTAGTCAGCAGTCATGCTCTGTAATACTACTACCTTTTCCTTTCCTCCCTCCCTGCCAGGAAGTTGTATAAAACTGTTCTCCAAAGACTGATGGTTCTTTGCCATTCTGAACAATCTGGTAGTAAGTACATTCAAAACTTCAAAGTTTTGCAATACAGCATGATTTTCTACAGAATTAATGAATTGACTTGGAAAGGTTATCAATAACCAAAACAACTAACAAAGAAAAATCCCCAGATCACTTACCTGCCAGTGCCCATTCACCAGTGCCATGTGAGTGACCACTGTAATACAGAATGTAGGTATCATGTCTGGGTCCATCTGCAGTCCGAAGCTCAAGGAAAGACTTGATCTTGGAGTGAAGGGTATCAAAGGTCAGCCCGCTTGTAGAGTAGTCACAACCATATGTCTCAATCATGTGATAAGCAAAAAATCTTTGGATGGCATTAAGCATGCCAGTAGACCTCAGATTTAACTCCTGGACATGGTCAGGTGGAAGAAGAGTTGGCTGGCCATCAGGGCTAAAGAGAAGGAGAACAGCTAATGGTTATGGCTGACAATTATTTCATGCTTAGTGGACTTCTAGTAGCTGGTGATTTTTTTCCCTGTGCATATTTTGTGTGCTATGAGGTAGCACTGTTCCAAACTCTAATTTACTTTAAATTTACAGTTTATAAACAAGTCAAATTACTGCATTTGAGTGAGGGACCACTATCTCCCTTCTGTCACACTTCAATTCCAGGCATAGTCCTTACTCAGCCCTGCACTATTCCTGCAACTGAGAGACAGAGGGAGAGAAGGAAGCTGTGACAGGAAGAAGGGAGGCTCCAACCATTTAATAAAGTCCCACTGAGGAGCACTGCCTTCAGACAGGCACTTTTTCATGAACAGCTGGGAAAAAGTACAGAGAAAATGAGTACTAATTTGCACAAACCATAAGGCAAACTACTTTCCAATAATGGATGAAAGAGAAATCCACACACACACTTCACTCAGATATTCTGAAATATAGAACTCACACAAATATAGTAATACTTCCTTGTTTGTGCTGTTCAGATGCTGTTCTTTCAGCATAAGAAATGTGTTTCAGATAACAGTATTCACAGCTTAGAAAATCAAAGTTTTAAGAAAGTTACAAACTAGACCTGAAACAAACCATGTATGTGTATTTATGTCTATATAGATATGAATACACATATATAAGAAAAATAAAAAAGAGTCCCTGGGTTCCAAAATGAATTTTATTTGTATTGTTATCTATACTTTATATAAAATAGAAATAATTAGATAATAAATAAAATCAAACATATACAGTATCTAAAATATCAAATAAAAATACACTTTTTATTTTAGGACTACACAGCTATTCATTAATCATAATAATAGGAAATTTGGGCTTGCAAGACACCCAGTTAGGGGAGTGCTCTGCAGAATGTATTTTCAGAAAGAGAAAAGCATTCATCACTCTTCAGCTGATGTAATAAGGGTAATGATAAGGAACATGACTGACAGCTGGGCCAAATTGCCCTCATTTATGCTCAGTTACAGACACAGAGAAGTTTTGTGAGTGAAAATATGGAGGTAAGTCTTACTCTACTAATACAAAACATGACATTATGCTTTTTTCCCCTATATATGTATGTATGTGTGTATTCTTCATGTATTCTGTTTGTAAGTCACTGTGTAAAGCGACCTAGTCTCCTTATTGGTCTAACTAACTAAATTTTGTACCTTCTTACCTGCCTAGGGCTTTTATGAAAATTAATATTCCACTGGTATAGCTACATTGAATACCTTATCATTACTGCTTGTCTCAGCAAGTGAATACTGGGTCCATCACTGAAACAGTCAAGCTCTGTTAATAAGGAAGTTTAGTTCTGTCAGGTCCTAAACAGTTGCTTAAGAGTGTCGCATTTACTCAAAATTAGAGGGAACTGCCTGTGCCAGAATAATATAATACAATGAAAGAATTAAATTGTTACCATGGAAACAAAATAAATTTATTTTTATTGTCATGTAAATTTTGAAAATCTGTTTTTCAAATCTATAATAATGGACCAGGCTTTTTAAGGGTGAACAGTGAAAGACTACGGTAGATCAGAAGCTCAGAAAATTTGTTTTTTACAATATTTAAGATACAGTTATCTAAGATAAGCATACTATCTTTGGTTTGTTTGATATTAAGTTCTTTCTTATCCACTAAATCCATTACACATACTGAAGCTGTGAAGTTTTCATATATTAGGCAGTTGTATTTTGAAGCCTCTCATTTCAACTTACTACTCTATTTCTCTTGTGATTTGAAGAGATAATTTATATAGGTCTTGTTTATCATTTACAAAAAAATGTGCACACACTGATTTTAATTTTATGGCAAAAGCAACATCTGCAAGTTTAAAGCTTCTAAGAAAAACACACAAATGGGCAAATAGTACAATCCCTTTACAATCATTCATTTCTCACATGGTAACATTTATGTTGGAAAAAAAACCTGCTTCAAATTCTCAACACCAATACCTGACATGTAGTCCATTTGCAAATCTAATTTTAATGAAATTTAAATGTAGACACTACCTCATTTAATTGAATTCAAAATTATTTTGAACTGATCTGTTTGGTTTATTAAATCTCCTCATGTAAGATACCTGGTCTCAATCAAATGCCCCAATCCTCCCTTGTGTGAGAGATGGGCTGTGAAATATGCCTATGCACAGCTGGTCTGGATTCATCAGCTTTCTAAAAGCAAATTACCTAGACAGAAAAGTGCAGTTACTCATTCTAGGGGGAGAAAGAGGAGAAATAAAAAAATCTGCCTATTATTTGAATTTGTATTTAATTGTTGAAAAAGCAAGCAACAGTACTGCATTGCCTCCATAAGCAAACAACACACAGTGTTTTTACAGACAGTGAAGCTGAAATGGACAGTAACCATACCTGCAAAAGTTGGTGGGAATCACAACAGCATACCCAACACACGTTCCTCCCAAGCAGTTTCCCAGTTCATGGAAAAGCCCATGAGCCATGGACTCCAAAGGTAGAACAATCAGAAATGCACTCATGAAGATCCCATTGGTTGGCTAAAAACAAAGTGAAGAGATTTAGGCATTGTATGAAAATCCCTTTGTTTGATCCCACATAACTGGGCCCTGAAACATACAAATATTACTGGCAATGTATATTTATTTTTTCACATATTACATGGTGAATTACTGTAAAGACAAGTGAAAAGCTTGGGGAGAAGGTGGTTGGTAAGAAAGGATCACTCTTTTGAAAGGAATGCATTTGAAAACGCTGCCAGCACAATATTTAGCTGTAAAAACTGATCATATCTTAGTTTATCAAAGGAGGCAAGAAAATCAAATGCCACAAAACAACTGTGTGCATAAAATAAGAAGATCTGTAAGCATCTGCAGGGTCAGGCGACTTAATCAGTGAGGTAGAGCACAGATATTATGTATCTGGTGGAGTTTTCTAGCTAAATCAATTTCAAGACTTAGAGACTTAGTTTTCCAACTGCAGACTCCAGAAGGGTAATGTGTTTTAAGTTACAAAAAAAAGGAGTATTTTTGTGACAAGTTCAGCTTTTACACCACATATAAATATATTTTCTTGCTAGAAATAAATTTTCTTTGCTAGAGCAAACTATTCCTATATTGTATTAGTGTTTTGATCACAGTGAACATATTGCAAAATAAAAAATACATTTGCCTGTAAAAACCAGAACAACCATAATAAACTAAATAATTATCAAACTATTATATTATTATTAACTATATAATCAAATAACTATTAAATAATTAATAAACCATTACAATATTGCTTTATATGAATTTTATTGTAGTCTTATTACAACAATGCCATCTTGTTCTAAATACTCCCTGTACTTCCCCAATCCCCTAAACACATGCAACTAATTAAACCCACAGCATTCTGCTGCAACGCAAATGGAAATTATCACAAACACACTCTAACTCCTAAAAAATATTTACATTTAATTATTGAAAATGCTCCTACTTATCTGAAGATACTGGCAAAGAAAATTCCCAAGTACTTGTGAAATAAGGGTCTCATACAGAAACACAAAGGATCATTTCGATGATCCATCTTGCCCTGTATCCTGTTTGGAATTTGTGCCAAATATTACAACAGGAATGGGAAATAAGCTCTGTAGTGTTATGAATCAACTCGGCTCCATCTGAGGTTCCAGCTGTGTGGTCTTTTAGTGGCTGTATTATGCTATGGAATAGGAAAATGTTGGATATTTTATATTTGTAGACATCCATATAATGTAAAGACGCTGGTACTTGCTGTCAGCACTTTTTCAACAGTTTTGATTTAGAAGAAATATGTCAAAAATGTAAACATGCCTAATGATTATTAGAACAAATCTATAGTAGGATAATAAAATATCTTAATCCAGCACTGCAAAAAAATGACCAGTAGCATTTTAAAATACCTAAACAATTAGATCTTCAAAGAGCAAAAACTATCTGATTTAGTTATTGCAGTAAAACTGAAGACAGGTTCCTCCCTTAAGATAAACAGCTAAAATTCCAGATGGAAACTGTCAGTGCTTTATTAAATCCCAAAGATTTGATGACTGGTCCTTAATGGAGCAGATGGCCATGGATGCACAGGCAGAGCAGAAAGGGATTTTGTTCTTTCATACCCATTTTCATTGTTTTTGATTGCACTAGCAACGTGAACCTGCAGTACATCCCTGAACTTCAAGTGCCCATTGATTCCAGACAGACTGCTCAAAAAGCAAACTGAAGACAGGGACCATCTAGGCAATCCTACTGAAAAAAACCATGAGAAATAATTTTATCTCTTAATCTTTGGGGAGGTTTTTCAGGTTTTTTTTGCCTTTGTCTGTCTTGTTCTAAAGGAATTAACAATTAAGTCTCAATTCAAATTACACAGAAAAGGTGAAAGAAAAAAATCCACTTCTAGCCTCTGATGACTGAACTAACATACAATAAAAGCACTCTTACCTTTTTTTCTTTTACTACTAGTGAATTTCACTACTAGTAGTATCTTTCCACTTTCTGTTTATTTGAGAACTGTTTCTTGTTAAGTGTAACAGTAAGAACACCAGAAGAATTTAGAGGTATTTTACAGCCAAGATGTCATTTTATACTCATGGATATAACAACTTCTATCCCAAAGAATAACCACTGTTTGAAGCAGAATAACTGTGGAACTGTATTTAATTATGGATGTGTGACTGAAGAAAAAACCTCCAAATGCATAAAATGTTAGTTTAAATTGGAAGCCAATCACAAAGACCTATAGAAGAGCTCTTCTGTTTAAAACATAAATGAAACACTAAACATATGTCAACTGAGATGGTCACAGGATCACCGAATGGTTGGGGTTGGAAGGAGCCTCAGGAAATTGCCTGGTCCAACCCACTGCTCACACAGCAGGGTGCCTGGGATTATATCTAACAGACCAATAACTGAGAAAGCTTACAAAGATGCCTTTGTGCATTTCCAAGCAAATACTGTTCTGTTTTCCTTTATCCAAGCTGAGTATTTACCTGTTTTTATACACAGACACACAAAGATACACAAACCCCCCCCAAACAAAAGAAGTAAAATAGAAGAATGCCATCTATGACAGAGAAGGCTCAGGAGAAAAATGGTAACATGCTAACTAATCTACAAACATTGGATAAATAGCTTACTTCAAATGAGGACAAGATACGTATATTACAGGTAGAAAAAAGCTTAATGACAACATTTGTAAAGCTACAAAGTACATCAGCTACCAGAGGAAACAGTAACAAGTTACTGAATAGACAGTCTATGGAGATCAATAAAAAATCCTTTACCTCTGACTATTCCAACAGCAGTGGGAAAATCTAGTAAAAAAGAGTTTGCAGAAAAAAGTTGTCACAATCACTGGCAGATAGATTTACTGTGCTGTGTTTCCCATCCCTGACTCCTGTTCTAGCCATGGGAAAGCCTGTGCTTTTATCTATGTGCATTTGTTCCAGCAAAACCACAAGCAGTTATCAGATTAAAAGCATGCTAAAAACTCTGATGTTTTTAAATACAAAAATGTGAATCCTGAAACTAATGAAATTTTGACAGCAAGCTAAACACATAATAGACTCTTTAGACTAACAATGAACACTTTCTCTTGTCACCAGAGATCCCCTTCAGGACTGAGGAGTTCTCAAAGTGGGGGTGACAGCAGCAAGGTGCTGCCACCGTGGATTTCAGCAGGCAACCTGAGGTAGCCCTCGGGATGGGACTGGAGAGGGAGAGCCAGGGAGGGCTGAGCACACACCGAAGAGAGCAAGACAGGCAGCAAAAGTACACATGATAGAGGGTGAGTTTGAGAAGAAATGGTGAGTAGTGAGCAATGGGGACTTAGGATGCAGCTTAAGAGATGATGGAACAGTAGGAAATGAGGGAATAAAGGTATTAGAAAAAAAAAACCAACAGAAAAGTCTTTGTAATAACAGCAAAGCACAGGTATTGAAAGCAAATCAGCAAGAAGAGGAAAAACTGTCACTGACACAAAGAAAGGGGGGAACTAAACATGACCAGAGAGACAGATGAAAAAAAGCAGGAGTGGCATGAATATTTGAGAAAATATGGAAAAAGGCCAGAGGATGGAGCAGAGACTCTGTGGGGAAAAAAGAAACAACAAAAAATAGCTCCAAACAAGCAAAGCCTGAGGAGGACTGGATTAAAAATACAAGCCAGGAAGAAAAGCAGGGGTAAAGAGAAGGAGAAAGACTGGATATGATTTGCATTCAAGTTATTTAACCTGTGATGTTAATGTAAGTATGTCTAAGTAAATACAGATGTTGCATAGAGGCAACCACACCAGAATAAGAACTACAAAATCATTAGCTCTCCCTCAAACAGGAGAGTACTCATACATACAGTAAACTTATTTTGTTTCCTATAAATAGTTAAAGTTAAATGCTACTGTCCATTTAAGTATGATTACTCAAGCATGTAAGGCATACTATTATTTCACTAACCCATAAAATTTGCTAAAACCAAGAATAATGTACTGAATAATGTACTTAATTCCATTACTTTACCAGCTCTAACATAGCTAATTTTTCTCTTGGTAGTACTAAATACAAGACTTCCAGGGATAATAATTCTCTTTGGCTACTAATTCAGAAAACCTGTAGTTACCTTGGCATAGAGTACTTAACAAAATTTGATTTTAAGTTTTTGAGATAAAGAGTGCCCCAAACCTTTCTAGATCTTTGTCTGAAAATTACAAGCTCTTCATCTGCAAATTTTTCATCATTTTATTGGATTCTTAAAGAAGTAATATCTGAGTCATTTGCATGACTTCTTCTGGATCTTGTGCAATCCAAGGGCCTAATTACAACCAGGCACATGATTAATTGCTGAAATAAGCTGGTGCTAAAGAGTCTATGGATTTGACTGAAATTACTCACACAAATGTAAAGGCAGGTCCTGACCATTTCCTGCAGTTTCTGCAAAGAAAATGTCTACATTTTTACCAACAGGACAACATCTTTCCTCTGCAGCTATAACAAAGATTACTCAGAAGCAGACCATGTCCCAGCTGAAATGCTCCACTGAAAGAAGAGCTGTTACTCCATTTTTTAATGCACCTAACTTTAATACATTACTTTTACAGCTCTGCCCAAGCAAAACCATGTACATGCACTGTACCCAAGTACCATGAACAGAGACTTTAAAGCCTTGTCTTATTACAAGGGCTATGTTCCCCTTAAAGAAAGGTCCTTGACTGACAGGAATTTTAGCCTCAACAGCTCCGTGTCAGTAAGAAAACCACTGTCTCTGCTACAGCAAGTTAATTCACCTCACTTTAAAAACCCTTCCACAAAAGGAGATTTGATATTTTTCTGGCAATTTTAATAAAAGAGGATACTTCTAGACACCAATTAACAGACAGCTGGTGCTTTAGGTCTTGACTTTTCATACACATGAGATTCATATGAAGCACAGATATTAGAGGTATTAGAAATGTTAAGAGGGCATACATAATGTGCCTGCAAAACATTTTCCATGAAAGGGAACCCCCCACCCCCCCCTTCCCACCACTCCATTTCTGGCTATAAATGAGATTTTTTATAAGCTATTGCTAATTATTTATAGCTGACTGTAAGGAAGCACCTTTCCAAGGCTCAGATTTTTAGCTAATGAATAAATGAATAAATTCTATTCATAGGAGGTCAAATGGCAGACCACAAAGTGATTTCAAGCCACCTCTCTTATCAAATATACTATCATTAAACAAGCTTTCAGTAGTGAGGAAAGGTATAAACAAAAAATGCTTCATCTTCCAAGTCACTTTCAACACATTTCAAATACAATTCACACATACTGAAATAACCACAGAAATCCTAAACTAATGTTGCAAAGACTGAAAATTCTTACATCTTACATATGCAAAAAATGTTTTAAGTAATCTTTAGAAGGGCAAACACATTTTCAGGAACTGGAGACCAAGGAATACTTGGCATTCCTAAGAAACTCTAAGGAAAAATATGTTAAAAATGTAAATGTAAAGTGTAAAAAAAATCCTTAATATAAGAAGGTATGAATGGCTGTATTAATCTGCTCCAAAGGCCCATCCAGAAGAATGTCTGGTCTCCAAAGAGGCCAAATGCATGTCCAGTAAAGATGTTAGGACAGACAAAAACATGTTTCCTGAGTACTATAACCACTAGTGGCTGAAGAACTCCCTGAGCCAGATGTGGCTTCCAGATAGTACACAGAGACCCTAGAGAATTTTGTAAGCTTCCTCCTGAGCCTCTTCCATCATGGGGCACCACACACAGCATGCCATGCTACACAGCCCCAGAGCTCAGCACCAAATGAAGAACTATTCCTACCTACCTGGCTCCAACCTGCTACTTGCCAACTTGATTCCCCTCAACTTTTGCATTGAACTGATTGCTTATTGTTTATTATCTCTACTTTTTTGGCTCTGTTTCCTTCTGCCCTTTCTGCAAGTCCAAACACCACAGCTGTGAGTGCTGATAATCTTCCAAAAAAAAAAGCAAAACTACCCAGTGTTCCTTGCAGGCTTGTCTGTTAGCTTCCCATGCTCTTCATACAAAAAACAAAACCCCACATAGTCACAAAGAAACTTTCATTTAATCTTCCACTAATTTCTTTAATACCATTCATCCACAAGGTTATTTAATCTGAGAAAATCTGCAGGATTAGAAATTCCACAGGAGTGGGCAGGAAATTGTTCTGGAAACAGTACAAAGACATGTCTGTAAACCCAATCTACTGTAAAAGAATATTTTATATACATTAATATATGTTTGTAATTTATATAAGAGGTGAATGGACACGAAATTAATTGTTATTGTGGTTTATATCAACTTGAAACAGAAAAGAAACTCTGAATGCCCTGCTGCAACTATGACAACACACCATGTGTCTTAACTTGGGTGCTGAACAAACATTTTGAAAGAAATGTATGCTTGCTGCTAAAGAAAAAACAACATCCTTAACCCACAAATGGAAAGAAAAGTCAAAGAACACTGTGTGATTTTAATGACTGGTCTTTCAGATATCATATCCTGGGGTGCATAATCAGATTTGAAAGTGAGACACTTAAAGCTCATGTTATACCAATGACTTATCAGTTTATCAGCTGACCTCTGATTCCATGTAATTGATTAAATGCAAAGCTAAATTACTGAAAATTACATTATTTAATATATTTTAATCTAATTAAAACAGTCCACAACAAAAGCTCTAGATTTAGTGAGCATTACTAGGGTTTAACACAGTGATTTATTCTGAAAACAAATTTTATGGCACAATGAATTTAAAACAAAACAATTTACCACACAGGTAAACGCAAAATACTTTGCTCACCTCTTTTGCCCTGGAAGCACTTACCTTTTCCCATGATGCCAACACAAGGAAGCTGGTAAGTTGCACTTGCTTTAACAGGTCACCAGGCAGCTCAAAGTGTTAAGTGCAAAGCCCATGACAGTGAAACCACGCATCCCAACTTTGAATTGCCAACCCACAGCACACCACCAAATTTTAGGGATCCGGCAATTCTCAGATTATTGTCAAGAGGAGATCAAGATAAAGAGATTATTATTTACCTGCCAAGAGACTGCTCCCAAAACTGCAGTCGCAACAAGGCTGAAAAATACCAGCTGTTCTGAGATCAAGCAGAAGTGACGCATTCCTTTAGATGCCATGACTCTGTCCAGGCTGTTGTTTTCTGCTCGGTGAGTGTAGTACACCCTGTGGCAGTCATTGAGTTTTGTGTGAAATCCCCAAAGAGTTATAAAAAAAATCACATGACAGATCATCCAAAAAATTCCAAAAACAGAAAAACCAGGTATCACAAAATACCAGAGCCCCAAATCACGTAGTTTAAAGGCTGCAAGAATGAAAAAGATTAGTTCAATGACTCCAACTGAGATGACAGAAAGCCGCCTGCAAATTTTACCCCGGTACAGGTAGGGCTTCCATCGCTCAGTAACCGAAAGTCCACTGAAGTAAACGTCCAGAAGGGGATCTGAAATGAGGCAGCTGAAGAAACACGCCAAGGCAAAAGGGTTTGTGGGGATTTGCAGTGATGGAAAAAAGACTAGGGATGCAATGGCTCCAAAAATTGCCAAATTTGGAATTGCCAAAAAAGACTTCATTCGTAAGTCAATAATCAACATGGCCAAAGCCAAGACCAACAGAATAATACTTACAGATTTTTCTACCAGCATAGTTGTGCTGGCAATTGCAAATCCAACTAGCTCCAAAAACTCAACTGTTGTCAGCAGAGTTGGTCGATGATGGACACAACCACAAATCCTCTCAACTAAAGCACATAATATCCTTAAAACAATGGCAGACAGAAGTAAATATTTTGTAGCTTCTTCTTTCACATCCATTTTGAACGCAGAATTATTGAGAAAACAGAGAAGGCCAAGCAAAAAACCAAACCAAAGATTGGAGAGACTCAAACTTGCTGTTTCCATTGAAAAATAGTAGTACAGTATGCTGGCAATTCCAAGAACAAAGAGCCCCAGAATAAATATTACCAAAATCAGTGCATCTGCAGTTTTTTCCCACCTGACATAAAGGCCCATGCAAATGGCAACCAGCAGGTTGATTCGGGCAAGATAGCCAAGGTATCTGACTGATGAGTGCATGTTCACTTCTCTGTTTGCTTCTTCTAGCCTTGTCATTGCTGCATAGAGACAGTGACTAACACAGTACCGCAGTGACCTGCACATGTAAACTGTGGGCAGGGCTTTCACCCACTTGATTGACAGAAAATATTCAGGTTTCATCCAGTGAACACAATGCAATTGCTGCCTTCTGTAATATCATTTCAGTAACAGTGGCCCAGAACCCTTGAAGTCCTGGAAGAGAATTAAGAAAAGTTTTAGTAGCAAATCATTCCTTATAAACATATAGTGTTGTATCGTGTTTTTTGTTTTATTAGTAGGTTTATGGTTTGATTTGTGATTTGGTGGTTTTCCTTGGGACTGTTTTCCTTTTGTCTCCGCCTTTTCCCAGTTATTTAGTCAGCTAGTTTCTAGTTTCTGTTTCTCCAAACTTTAGCAGTTTATTGAAACAGCTTTTCCTCCCTTAGAATGCTATTGGTTCATGGCTGTTATCTCCGCCTAGGATTTTTACTCCCAACTCCCCTGATTTGTTGAAAGTTGTGCCTACCCCTGACCTTCCCCCACATATAAGTCTTTGTTTGCCCCTTGATCGGGGTCCCAGGAGAGGAAAAGGGGAAGTTTACCATCAAATAAAGTTTCCCTGGGACCTGTGTGTGCTGCCCGTGTTTTATATTGTGCTGAAACAATTGACAGCTGGGATTCACCGGAGCTCCAGGGGGAAACAGCCGCCCTCCCTCTCTTGTCACCAGCCAGCCGGGGAAGCGGCAATACAGAACATAAATATGACCCATCCCATCTCACAAAGAAGTTTAGTATCTAAAGCAAAAAAAACCAAACACATTAGAAAGACCAATTAAGTATGAAAACCAATATAAAATGGGTTCTGCATAAACCTTATTTCATAACTTGAATGAGAGGAGAACAAATCCTGGCCTGGGCAGTTTTCCACAAAACTCATCTATTAGGTATCTTATATTAGATATCTATGGATATCCAAAGCCCTTGTATGATGGCCACTTGCTTCTAGAACATTTCATGATTATTTTAAAACACTATTTTATTTCACCATTACATTTGGTAACTTCTCACTTTCTATCAAATCTTTTCAGCATTCTTTGCAAGACTTCCTTTTAGCAGTCAAATAAGGATATGATTTACAAAATGAACTTCCCACTCAGTTAATGAGCCTAACCCAGAGTAAAAAAGATAATATTATCTCCATTTCACAAAAGGAGAGTGGCCACACAGATATAACAACTGATTTGGCATGATTTTCAGAGATTTCTCCTAATGTAAAATTAAAACCTTCATTTGCATTCCTTCAAGCCAGTTTCCCCCCTCCCTCCTCCACAAACAAGAAAACAAACAAGATAATCACGATAAATATTATATTTAGAACACTTCTCCTAATGTAAAATTAAAACCTTCATTTGCATTCCTTCAAGCCAGTTCCCCCCCCCCCTCCAAAAACAAGAAAACAAACAAGATAATCACGATAAATATTATATTTAGTAGGAGAAGCACCTCCTACTTAGATCCATTTAACTGATGAGATTTTCTTTTTAATATAGTTGCAAACAGTATTTTAAGGGGCATTTTGTAATGTTATGGGCAGAGTTTCCAACACATAAAAAGACTTATAGCCTCTATAATTTTTTAAGTAATTAACTAATTGCTCATCTTACAGAGACTTCTGAAGAGTTACTGGTATGACAGATAAACCAGGCTGCCAAGAACACTCAGTGCTGGGTTGTAGCTTCCTGCTTTTATTTATATTGCTGGGAGAAGTGTTAAGAGACACCTTGACTCAAATGCAAAATTTAGGCTCTTGCTTTTTAAATTTTCATTTTTTTAAACCAGTGAACAACAAATGCTGAAGTGAATTGACTGACTTGCCCTTAAGTTTTGGCAGATTTGAAGACTGACACGCAGTGTAAAACCAGCTTCAGTAATTGCTGCAGAGGAAGACAAGGCCTAAGAAATCCTGTTGTTTAAATCACTTATTTGATAACACATATTTTCAAACTATGCTATATACCCAAAACAATGCAGATTGTTTTCTGTGGGGTCGTTAACAGTAGCAACCTCCCTTCTAGACAAACAAGGAGCCACTGTGACAGACCACAACTCCCGCTGGGTCAGCTCGTGTGGAGTTTTGCTGCCAGCACAGCAGGAGAAACATGAAGAGGAACTCCTCTGCTCCTCCCCTGCCAGGTGCTGGGGTGGGGGAACAAATGGTGCAACAGGTCTGTTCCTACTGCAAAGACACTAAATCTACTTGTGCACAAGTAGTAAAAAAGGATTTGCACAATGACAGCTCAATCTGTGAATGCAATCTCTTCTTCCTGACCCCACCTTCTAGATGATTGGCAAAATGTGCACTCCTAAACCACACTATTAAATATTAGCATTTTTCAACCAAAATGCATGGTCAACTTTTTGTGAAGAGGAAAAGGTGCATTTTCATGATTAATGTATTCCATCACACAGCTACTGCCAAACAAAAACACAACAGCAATTCAATTTTAAAGAGAAATATCAATAAGTGATTTGTTCTCTAAAACACAGCTATTTGCAAGTAATTTCTGCCAATACTTTGTTTATACAAGGACTGTTCAAAGTCCTGGGGAGGGGGCAGAGCTGCTGTGCTTGTTTTAAACTAATGGCTTTAAGGTTTCAGGTTGGACACGACTTACAGATCTCAGCAAATCACATTTAGATTCCAAACAGAATGTGGACACCCACTTTTAAGTGTCTGCCAACTTTTGCAAATATAATTTCAAGGAAAACCTGGAGCCTCATTAACATTTAGAGACCAAACTATCTAAAAGCACCCTTATATGTAAAGAAACACTACTCTCAGTGTAGTTTTAACTCGTTTAAGAAAGCTGAATAAACAATCAAACCCCAAAACTGGTTCAGCAGTTAAGCCCAAGTGGGATCTATCTAAAACAGTGAATCCACTTTCCGTCGCCTTTACTCTTCCAGTTTAGCACTTTTCTTCTTTTTAAAGCAATTCTGCAAGAATTTTTTTTTTTTTTTAAACAAAAAGTCCCATTTAGCTAACACACAACCACATCAGGCCAACCCCGCGGTGAAGGGCAGGTTAGTTTCCCGGTGCGAGCACCGCTCCCGCAGGGGGATGGCGGCTCCGGGGGAAGGGCGCGCTCCCGCCTGGAGCCCCGGCTGCGGGGCCGGCCCGCCCGGGGAAGGTCAGTGCCGCCACCGGGCTCCCTCGGCAGCCGCCCCGCGGCCCGGCCCGGCCCGCTCTCACCTCACCCGGCGGCCCGGAACCTTCCCGCCCCCCGCGCCGGCCGCCGCCATGTCGAGGCCGAGCGCGGCGCTTCCCGCTACGGGCCGCGCCGAGGCTCAAACACCGCCGCGCCGCCACGGCGCGGCCTGGTACAATTATGAAAAAGCCCAAGCAAGCAAGCAAGCAAGAGCCCCAGCCAAACCCATAAACACTGCTGCTTAGGCATGGAAGCGGGAAAACTGAGTTTAAAGCAGGACTGCAAGGCAGACTGAGCCCTCCCCATGCTGTGGTGCGGCGTGCCTCGGGCGCTTCCCCGGTCCCGGAGCGCGTTCCTCCGCACTCGGTGCGGGAAGTGCACATTCTGAACTGGCGCTCGCTGCCAGGCGAGCGGAGAGCGGGAAGGCTCTGGATCAGTCACCCCACGCCCTGGCCGAGAGGCAAAACAAGAGGAGTTCGGGTGACCGTGCTGCTCAGGTGCTCTTTGAACTGCTGGGCTGCTGCGGCACAAAGCCTTTGTTCCTGTAATCCATCACAACCAGCAGCTCCTGCCCCCAGTCAAGGAGCACTAGGGCAGCCTAAACATCTAAGCTTGACCCTCTACTGTTCCTGACTCAATCATGCACATTCACAAGAACCTCAGACATCCCTCAGATTATTACACCTCTCAAAGTATTAGACAAAACTGGCCCAAAGGCCTAAAAGTTACACGGTTAAAAACAACAACAAACAAAACCATTGAACCCCCCCAAAGAAACAAACAAAAGCCTAACAAAACAAAAAAATCTACAAGCGAAAAGGTTTTCCTTTAACAAGCACTGCAGTAGAAATCTCAGTTGCCTTCCCAAAGAAACAAACAAAAGCCTAACAAAACAAAAAAATCTACAGGCGAAAAGGTTTTCCTAAGCACTGCAGTAGAAATCTCAGTTGCCTATTAAGGGTCACATGCTCCAGATGTTTTGCCAGCATTATGGACCACGGTTAATTGGTACTGTATTGACCCAACCATGATCTGCTACACTCCTCGAGCAACTTACGGAAACTTCTTCTCGAATGTTTCACTTGAAGGGTAAAATAACACAACTAAGTTTCGTGCAAGTTTGTGAAATGAACACTTTCTAAAAAGACAACTTGCTCTTCTACAGGCTGAAAACAATTCAGGGAAACAGAAAGAGGAGGAAAAATGAGCAGAAAGGAGCCTTGCATTTTCAGTTCTTTGGATTTCTTTTCCCACTGCCATCCTCTTCCCAACACCTCCAGTATTCAGAATCACGATGTAGAAAAATACAGTAATGATATCAAAGGGGAAACATACAATGGGAGCTGTAAAAGTATTTCAGTGAGACAGAAAAGAAATTAAGAGCATATAGATGAGAGGAAGTGCTCTAGAAAGTGGAGGAAAAATGAGCAGAAAGGAGCCTTGCATTTTCAGTTCTTTGGATTTCTTTTCCCACTGCCATCCTCTTCCCAACACCTCCAGTATTCAGAATCACGATGTAGAAAAATACAGTAATGATATCAAAGGGGAAACATACAATGGGAGCTGTAAAAGTATTTCAGTGAGACAGAAAAGAAATTAAGAGCATGTAGAAATAGATGAGAGGAAGTGCTTTAGAAAGTGATCAAATCTAAGTGGGCAGGCAAAGCAACATAGTAACAGAATCGACTGGAGGAACGAAAAAATCCCTTCTGAAAAGCAAAGGTCACAACTGAGATGTAGAAGCTGAAACTGAAGTACCAAATTTAACATCCTTATGGGTTATAAATCAAACCCAAGACAACTATTCTCCTTGAAAATAAAGAAAATAGCTTTGCATTGATTTCAATGGATTTCAGCATAGAGAGACTGCACAGAAAGAAAAAAAAGACAATAGCTCCATCCCAAAGAATTTTAAAAAATGTTTTTGGTTTTTCAGATTTTTTTTAATAAATGTGCTTTGTTCACAAAAGTAGTGACATAAAAGACAACATAGATGCCAACACGTTTTCTTCCTTTTCTTCTCCAGCACTTTGCACAGTCATAATTTTCAAATATTTCATAACCTAGAAATAATATTCTTGCACCAAAGCCAAATATACAATAACTCCTGTTACCACCACTTTATTATTAAGGGAGATGTAAGTATTTATGTAAATCACACTTTCCTTCTTCACCACAATCTACTGTCCCTTGTGAAAAAAAACCAATACAAACCAAACCAAAAAAGAAAAAAAACCCCACAAAAACCAAATAACCAATAAAGCCACTTTGGGCATTCAGAATGATCAGCAAGAAAACCAAGCTGTTATGAATCTCAGGTCCCTAAACCACAGTGTTGTCACCAACCTCCCAAAAAGGATTAAACTTTAAATCTTAGTATTTAAGCTATTTTGGGGGATAAATCTTGTTCTGAATTGCATTTCTTTGTGTATGAATCACAAACCAATTTACAGTAATCAATGCCAACACATGTTTGATGGTGTACTCGTTTCTAAATTGAATATCAGTTAAAATATTATGTATACTTTGAAGAATGCACATATTAACCTCCCATCAACAGCTGAATTTACAGCAGCAGTATTTTAACATGAACACCGCTGGAACCAGTGGTTAATTGGGAAGAAAGGCTTTCAATGACAAACATTTTAATGAAAATACTGACTAAAAGCCAATTTTGAAGCCATTGTGTATTTCATTAGAGAAGTATTCTTTTTAACAAAAAATAGCAAGTGAACCATGACTCTTGTATGTCTAACCTTAATTCTTTTTTCTTTTTACATATCAGAATATTGTTTGGTTTGTGTAACTCTGTAACTCAGAGTGAATAACAAATTTGAATTAGGAATTTGGGAATGCTTTAAAGTTAAGAAGAGACACAAAAAAGCTTATGTCAGAGAATACAGCACCACAGTCCAGATCACATCTGAGTGCAAGCTGGACCAACGCGATTACTCTATGTAGGAAATACTATAAAAGAAAAACAGGTAGGACAAACTGTGACACGTTCAGTGCAAAACTTCAACGGAAGGAGTAAGTTTCATTTTTGTAGCAAGCACTGTAAAATCCACACCACAACTTCAATTTGTCTAGCAACTTTCATATTATAAATAAAACGTGGCAGTTTAACGTAAGATATTTCATCTTGTATGATATTTCATCATAATAACCTGTGAAACTGTATTAGTATTTTTTAACCAATTTTCAGAAGTGTGAAATAAATCATGATCTGGCACCTAGTTCTAATCATTTACTACTAGGCACCTAAATATAGATTTAAGAGCCTAATAACCAAATCTGAAAATTCTGGCCACTATTTTAAATGGAGGAAAATCTAAATTAAACTAAAAATGAATCCTCCCCAAATCTGAAAATTCTGGCCACTATTTTAAATGGAGGAAAATCTAAAACTAAAAATGAATCCTCTTTTTTTAACCACTGAACAGAATTGATTTTTCCTGCAAAAACTCACAGATTCATTACCCAACTTAAAAACTTAATAGATGTAAAAATACATGTTTAATCTCTTTGCTGTGCAGACCAGTTTTCAGTTGCTATGGAGTTTTTATTTAACTGAACAGAAGTCAGTTGGGTCCTAATAAGCAAACAAAAAGCATGTGTTAAATTAATGTATGTGGTCTGAATGACATGGTTTTATGCAAACACGTGTATCTTTGAAAAACTTGTTAACTGAACAGAAGTCAGTTGGGTCCTAATAAGCAAACAAAATCATGTGTTAAATTAATGTGTGTGGTCTGAATGACATGGTTTTAAGCAAACACGTGTATCTTTGAAAAACTTATACAGTTATGTTCCTTCTTAGAAAATCAGTTCGTAGTCACTGGCTAACTTAAATCTACAAATAAGGACAATCCATGAAAAAGTTGTTTCTTTTTAAAATGCATAAATAATTTACTTAAAACATGACAAAACCCACTTTGTCCCCCAAAAAAACACAGTTGGAAAAGAATACAGAACACCATAGTTGGGGAAATACTGATATACATTAGTGCTTGTATACTCATAAAACTGCAAAACATATTCCAGCTTTGAAGTGAAACATAATTGTCTAGACGTACCATACTCCTCTGGGGGAAAAGCCTCTTCAGAAACTGCTATTTATGTAATGAAATTACACAGTATGTAGAACTATGGATGAATATATTCCAGTGTTTTGGTGTCACGTCACAAGGGCTGCAATAAACATAAAATCAAATGTGCAAGCATTATTGTTTCTCCAGCCCCAGCTTAACCAGAGTGAAACAAATTTTGGAAGAAAAAAAGTTTTGTTCCATAATTAATAAAGGACATTTGTAACCAAGTGTCTTAACCTATCTGCACATTGAATTAAAGTGCAAATTATTTCTTCCTACATATACTTCTCAGAAGCCCACCAACTCCAGTGCCTTAAGCTCAACCACATTGAGTTAAAATACTGAAACAACATTTAACAAATTAAATAGAATTCACACTTCACAGCACTAAAGAAAAGAATGGTACCTTTCTGGAAAAAAAATAGTGATACAAATCTAAAGAAAGTAACAGCAATTTATGCTATGACATGAGTCATTTGCATAAAACTTGTATTTTTTCACTTTCATACAAGAATAAATTTTAAAATTCAAAAGTAGAAAAAAATAGCAAACTCTGTAAACCTTTGCATTTTCTTTATGCAAACCATTTTTCTGTGTTGAGCCCATGTTAGTATAGCAAAATTAGTTAAGCGAGAGGTTTGACTGAAAGGGCATTTCAACAACTACATTAACTTAGAAGCAATATAGGATCCTCTAGCTCATAGAAAGGAATAGAACTAGACTGGCTTTCTCCAGAGTCTGAGTCATAGGGAGCATCAGGAAGCTCCATGAAACCGTAAGCTAGCTGTTCATCTTCTGTGTCTGACCGAACATAGCAGGCAGTGGTGGAATACTCCTCATCCTCTATACTGTTGAAATCCTGTGGGATATACAACATCCCCGGGTAGTTCCTGCTAACTAAGTCACTTGTTGTTTGCAGGGAAGTTTTCCTAAATGCCATCAGGTGCATGTGAGAAAACTTGGAATACTTGAAGCGTTTAAAACCCAAGGACTCGATGGCAATTTTCCAGCTTTTCATCATCATAGCCCGGCGATTCTGATGAGATGAATCAGGAGTTATTACAAGCAATAAGCCATTTAATACAAGAAGTTCATGTGCCTTCTTGCAGCATATCCATCGTTGATAGGGTGATGGAAAGTAAGAAAGAAGGAGTGAGAAAACGACAACATGGAACAGTTCTCCAGGTAGAGAATCAATGGGATTTTTCAGTTGCTTAAGAAAGGCATCTATAGCATCTTGTGCCAGTTGAAGAGGTTGCTGAATTTGAAGATTTAGGAAGTCACATTTGTACACGCTCTGGTGGAGTGACAAAAACAGAAAACCAAACATCAAGGTTACTTTAAAGAGCAAATACAACCAAAATCCACAGAAAAATAAATTATTCCCTTAAAACTGATTGTTCAGGGTGACGTGCTAACTTTAAGAGTAAACTTTACTAACTTTACTTCAAGAGCTAAAAAGTTAATGGTCATACATATACAGTTTAAAAAAAAACAATTTAGTCTGCAAGTATTTCTGAGTAGAGAAGAAACACAAATTAGTAATGCAGAAATAATGTTAAAGACAATTTCAGGACTAAGGAATGTTTCAAGTGGAATCTGTAATCAGCTTTAGGACAAAAATGCTGCTAAACTGGAATCTGCCACTGAACTTTTGATATACAAGTCTAGAACTAATGTTTAAGTCCTCAGAGACACTAAAACAACAGTTATCAATGCATCCACTGACATTTAAGAACACAAACCTACTTATGAGGATAATTTGCAGATATTTCACAGAATATTCTGAGTTGGAAGGGACTCTCAAGTATCAAGATATATATTCTAATTTTTAACTCCAAGTACCCTTTCACCTCTTTTTTTTGTTTTTTTTTTTTTTTTTTCGTCTCAGGCTATATTACTCCAAGACAGCATCTGCTATACACCCTGGTCTCAGTTTTTTTTTTTTTTTTTTTGTCTCAGGCTATATTACTGCAAGACAGCATCTGCTACACACCCTGGTCTTAGTTTCCATCCTCATAGCTTCTAATAATGCATATTTCCTGCAGTGTACTTTCCACCAGGACACCAGGAAGTGAGTGCATGCTGCTTAACTAAAGAAAATATTAATGTTTTCTGGGTAAGCAGTTTCGCTCTCAAAACCCAAAACCCATCAATGGAAATATATTTCCATATTCAATGATTTGCATTCTGTATGTGAAACAGAGATTCTAAAAATTTTGAAGACATTTATCCTTTAGTTACATAACTAATATTTCAGTTCATTTCCTTGTATTTCCACAATTGCATCCTTCTTACTCCTCCAACTAAACTGAAGTATTACGCACCTACTTAGTCTGTATCCAAAGCATTTCTATATAAAGGTGGATAATATTTTTTATTAAGGAAAGAACTATTTAACTCTCTGATCAACATTACTTAAGAAACTGGCTTTGTAAGAAGCCTCTGTGCTTCCATTTGTTTTAAAAGGTACTTTAGGATCTTACCTAAAAAATCTGCTAAATCAGAAATTTTTACCAGTTTATTTTATTTTCAGCTTATACCACAAGTTCTCAAAATAATCTTTTCAAGTCAGGAAATGACATTAACTACCATAACAAACCTCTGGTTGTTATTCCGCAATCCTTAAATCAACCCAGGCAACTTCTGGCCTTAGAAGATAAGTTTATTCAGAAGTCATGGTGCTGATGCAGCTCAAAGAAGAGTCATCTTCAGTATATCAGGGCTCATTAATTCTGTTTTGGAGGTAGGACTAAGTTTATTCTAGCAGATGCATTTGACTGCTCAAACTGTACTCCCTTGTCCCTCCAAGAACACTTGCTAGCCAGGCTTCAAGGTGCCCTGAACAATCCAAAGCATCTAAGACAATCAAAGATATTGGTGAGCCTGAGACAGGCCTCAGAGTAAGCATGTATATAACCACATTTACATTAGCACTCTGGGAGTTCCTACCATGAAGCTGTAATACTGACCATGTCAGACAACCAGAAATCAATTATCTTATTGTTCCCTTCTACGGGGGAGAATCTAAAGAACTAGTTAGTACATAGAAATTGCATAGGTTCCTCCATTAAATCCACACAAGTTACTTTTTCAGGACTTTTCCCAAAAGAAGTTTTGGTCACTGTACATTTAAATTGATTTTCATGAGAAGAAATGCAGCTTTCTTAGGAAAGCAGACAACAGAGATTAGTAGACAGAAAAATATTAACTAGGCATACTCAAAAATTAATGTTTAGGTTCAACTCAATTAATGCTAGGTACCTAGGCTGCCACTATAGTCCCTGGAGAATTAGCCAATACATAGTGACCCAATTCACCTCACCATCAAAGAACAGCAAATATTTAGGTTTGATTATTTTTAATAGATCTTCACTGACTGTAATTATAACTTAGAATCTGAAATGTAGACAAAACAGTGAGGAACTATGTATCATAGCTAGAAATTCACTTGCCTTGTATTACCATTTTAAATGCCACAGGCTGCCACTTCAGTGGCATGTGTCTTTTCAACCTCCTGTGTCCTGCCCAACAGCCCTACACAGTCCTACAGCCTCCAAAGCTATGGAAAGTAATCATGATGCCTGTGCTTCAAATCAGGCAAGACAAAATCTACTCAAAGTTTGTGTTTTAGACAGAACTAACATTGAATTGCTTTTGAAAGCAATTTATCAGGCTCAAATTTTTAAAGAATACCTTTCAGTATTCAGCATCAGTACCCCAGCATATATGCAAAAATACAAATTAGGTGTTAATGGACTAAACATGGTAACAACAACAAACTACCAGACATTTAGCAAGTAAATCACACTGCAGCAAACAAGAGAACATTACTTTCCAGTTAACTGTATTGTTTCACCTGTACACTTCTATTCACCTCCCCACTTGTGAAGAGGGTTATCTTAGGCCACAGATTTTAACTGAGCCTGATTTTTAACTGTAAGTAGTCAAGGTGTGTATAGTCAATCCCTTTTCTGTTTTCTGTCAGAAATGTATTTCTGTGTCTTTTTTAAACATTTTTATTCTACTTTATCCTTCTGTGTGGTTGATAAATGCAAGTTAGTGCTGACAGAAGTTGGGTCAGGAGCAAAAGACAAAAAGATTATATGATTACAGCAGAATTAAGGCATTTGAGAGCCTTACTGCCTAGAGAAAATGAAGCAATTTACCCCAAATATGCTGATAAATTTGTCCTCTGGATTTTGAAAGCTCAAAAATATTTCTAGCAATAAACAGAAATGCTCCCTTATAGTGCACTTCTGAATACTAATCTCCCCAGAAAAACTCACCAAATACAGTCACCCATCATTTCCTTCTGTCAGTGAATGCAGCTTCTGAGAGGCTCTTGTCTAAGCACAAGCTTACTTAATTGTTATTTATACCTTTTAAGATGCAAGGACTCATCTGAAATACCATTAAAAGATGGCTACTAAAATGTTCAAGGTTTTCAAGATCAATAACGCCATTATAAAGGCATGGCTCTGGGAAAATAATTGTATTTTTAAAAGAAAACACAACTAGGACTTCAGAGCTTGTTCATGGAAAAGGATGTAGTATTTAGTTCCTACTAAAACAGATATTTAAAAAGCATATAAGTATCAAACATCCTCTTTTACAGTTATTTTGAGGCATTCCACAAATCTGAGGATCAAGTTTATATTAAATACAGCAAACACTACATACCTCAACAGCTGGAACAATGTCTATGCCAACTGTCAGAAATTCTTCAAACTTCAGAAATGGATTAAAGCAGCTACCAACATCAAGTAATCTGATCTTTCCCAAGGAGTGAAGGAACCTAAGAAGCAGCAAGAATTAAGTTTTATCAAATGTAACTTTTAAAGCTATTCTGAGTCACAATTTCAGGTAACTAACACAGAAGATTCTCACAGAACACCAGTGACTGATAGAGGTGAATGCCTTACTTCAATTGCTGGGTTACCTAAAGAACCAAGCTCCATCAATAAAAGCAAGTGGCCCTCAAGCAGAAGAGTTTTGTTCAGAGCAGCTGTAACACTATAAACGTGCAATTGCAGTAAGTAAATAAAATGGCAAATTGTTTGTCTACTAGACAGGCTTTCTCATATTGTTTTGAGTTTCTCACTTAATTTTCTGAAGTACTTACTGGCTCTGAAGTCACACTAGATGCCAGTTAAAATTCATGAGATGAAATGGGAAACAGAGAACAACTACATAAATTGCATCATTTACAGGGCTGTAATCTAGAAAAATTCTATGATGATGTGTAACGTCTTAGAATATCCAAAACCCAATAACAGAGGCAAACAAAGTCACAGCTGTCACAGGGACTTCACAGAGATGAGAATGCCAATAACCTTCCAGAAAGAAAATGTTTTTTGCTTCATGTTTCTGTAGCCAAAACCAATTGGCATCTCCAAATACAACTTGTCATTTTTCTGGGAAAGGCTCGGCACTGAAGAAACAGATAATTGCAAAAAACTTTCAGAAACAGAGGTGCAGGGCCAATGGAGTAAAACCAAGCCATGGCTGTACTCATAGCAACAACAAAGCAGAAAGGAAAGAAAAGCCTCTAAGCAGCAGTAAGAGATCCAGGCTCTCTGGGCTCCTTCTAGACTCCCAGTAACCTACCAGAGAGGATGCTGGAAAAAGCAAGAGAAAATGTCTTGCTGCATTCAGCAAAATAATGGCAAGTTTAAACATTTTGTTTCTACATGGAACAAAAGACATCCAGGGCACACTTCTCTCAAAATACCACCATGACCAAGGCAAACAGTGCAACAATTACCTTTAAGTTAAAGCTATAAACATTACCAAGCTGCCCTGTAAGTCAATCAGTACTGAGTGAGTTTTCAGAATGAAGATGAAAGTAACAATTCTTCCAGACTTGGAACAGGAATTTGGATATTATGTAGGCAGATCCTAGTAGCCATAAATCACAAACATGGACTGAAGTAATATCAGAGATCTTTTCCCACATAAGGGTAATGGGAGGTTTCTCAGACTTGTATATCTCCTTGTCTAGCAAATGGAGACACTAATGGAAGATCCTTCCTCACCCAAAGACAAAAATGTGCCTGTACGAATGTTTACATTCTATATGAGAGTCTAATATGGTAATAACAAATCAATGGACACATGGGACCACAGGAAGCATAACAAGGGGAAACAGGATGCTACAGTTCAGAGAATATTTCCCATAAAAAAGTGAGCACCTCTAGAGATCTAAACACGTTCCTTTTAAGATGTTCAGTGAAATACTTATTAAAATTAAGCAGCAAATCCCAGAAGCCTCTAATTTCCAGGACAGCCACTTCACCTATGGTACTGTGAAAAAAAAATCACTGTGATGTATTCTGTCTTCCTATTTACAAAACCTACATTATTTATATATATTTATACATTACTTGAGAGAGGATTATATGTGGGATGAACAGAATTATTGTCTTTACACCTACCAGAGTAAAACAAAGAGTCACTGGCTTAGTCATACCGATAGACAAACCCACACTCCTGTAGTGTTACATGACCAGAATGAAGTGACAGTCTTTAAACACTGTGCGTAGGTTCCCTCATATCCACTGTCCCAACTTTGAGACTTCACTGCTAGATCAGTGTAGACATGATAAAGCATTTCAGGAGAGATCTCTGCTTTTTGTAACACACAATCCATTTTCTTTCTGATAAACTCTGTAATTTCTTCTGTAAGGCATCAAGGAAAAAAAAAACCAAAGTAATTTCAATTTCTCTGGGCAGTAACTTAGACCAGTTATGCCTTGTTGTTCAGGGTCTATATGGCTACTAAGAACTTACAGTCATTGGTAGCTTACTCAGGTAAATATTATAAAACTTGCCTTTGCCAGGTATGTCTTTTGAGGTAAGTATATTTTTAAACTTCTGAGAATTAAAATAAAAATCATCAGCACTCACTATACTAATAAATACTCTATAAATAATTTATAAAACTTTGCTATTAACTCCTTTCTGTACACATTAGAACTAAAGGGAGGGCTACAAACAATTGGTAGCAAGAAGGCAGGTGAAGTTAGCTCTGCAACAGCCACTGTCAGCTGCAGAAAGTATGAAGACAGAGATCGAAGAGAGACCAAAGAGGTGCAAAGAGAGAACCAATGCTTTATCCTGACAATGCCTCCCACTGGCAGACAGCTTTAAAGTCAATATGATCATCAAACCTATTGATTTAAACAAACATGAGAGACACAAAAGACACCAGCTCCTAAGGACAGACACACCTACTAATAACATTAGTAACACATCATTCTTTCCCTAATTTATACTACACCTAGCTTCAAATAAGTGCTGATCACAGCAGACATGCTACAATAAAGGAAAAAAAAACTTCTTTACACAATAGAAAAAACACTGTTGCAGGAAGTTCAAAGAACTAATCTATAAAGAATATGAAACAAGTCATAAGTGTAACTTATATAGATTCTACGCTTATGCACTAATTATTTCACTGTACATGCAAAGTATGATTTTTTTTTTCCATCGTACATGGAATAGTCACAATCATGACATGTTATTTAGGAAAAAAAATGGAGGGTGGGACTTAAGAAATAATAAAGTTAGTCTTGGATGCCAAAAATAAAATTCTTGCTTGAGTGAAGGTCACAAACAAAATTAAAACTGTTGTTTGGAAAATACTTCAAGGATACGACAAGTTCTGCAGAGCCAGTCATCAGAAAGCTAGCACATTAAAAGTTAAGGGTTGTAATTCCAAATTGCTTTTGAAGTGTGTAATTGGAATCAAGAGTTTCTCTGCAATTATTTATGAAGAGAAAGTTTTAAGTACTCTGATATTTACATTTGGCACTTAGTACTTACATAAGCAATTGACTTTTCAACAGTGCTGAACAGCCATTAGATTCTAACTTAATTAACATCTCCCTTATTTCACCTCAAGGTTTAATATAAATTGCATTGCACACCAATGACATACTAAAGTGAAATTGCTTTAGCACTAAAATGAAGATGACTAAGTTGTCATTCTCAAGCATTTTTTTATGGCATTCACCAAAATATACTACAACATAAACAGCTCTTGAAATGTATATATTCACATGTAAATTGCCTTTCTTAACTATTAAAAATACATCAGACTGATCTAACATGTTCTGGGGAAAAAAAACCATCAGAGTAAATTTTAACACTTAAAGGGGAAAAAAGTCAAAACAAGTAAAACTTACTCTTCTGTCACAGCTTCGTGATTTGTCAAGCCAAAGTTTGGCAAAGGATCTTCAATCTTGGGAGTCTGAGGAATATTTAAAGCTGGAGTGGTTTTAGAAGCAAGAAGTGCTCTTTTTTCATCTTTCTCGAGTGCTTTTCTTTTTCCACCATTCTGAAAATATTCTCGGCATACACTGAAAAGACAAAAAGAAAAATTCCCCAGGAAAACTGAATGCTCTTGTTAGTCACTACTGCAGCTAAGATACATACCAGAGGGTTAAGTGATACAAGTGCTGTCAACTTTTAAACAAATATCGGTTTTATTTCAACTTTGGTAAATCAGCTTTAAAAAAGATGTGATACATCCAATAGTATGAGTGGTGGGTTGGTGGGGGTTTTTTTCCCCCCAAATTATGCCATAAGTCACAGCTGAGTCAATACATTTAAATTTTTTTTATCTGGATAGACTTTTAGAGTAAGACAGCAGAAGTCTTGTCAGAACATCACCAGAACGTAAACTTCAGCTCAGTTCTCCACTATAATGGAAAGATTTATCAACTATCTCCCTGTCAACACAAGGTTTTTAAATGTGTGTCTTGCTGGCACATAAACTAGGGGAAAAGAAACCTAATTTAGATTTATGCACAAACTTACATTTTAATTGAGTTTGACTGGGCATTGTTTTAAGTAACAGACAGTAGCTGTATTATTGTCAAAGACTTATTTTAGCTTTCAGTTTTTCCCCATATTTACTTTTCTTCTGGGAACTAGAACAAAATCAGACAGTAGCTGTATTATTGTCAAAGACTTATTTTAGCTTTCAGTTTTTCCCCATATTTACTTATTTTTCTTCTGGGAACTAGAACAAAAGAATCATACTTGAACAGAAATATTAGCCAGTTCAAAGAAATTAATGTTACAAAAGAAGTTAAATAGCACTTGTGTTCTTCAATCAGCAGTCAGCATTAGTGTATGAGAAGCAAGCACTGTGTTTGAGAATAACTGAATTTCATCCACAAAATATAACTAGGACTGGAAAAAAATTGTTGCTGTGAAATTAAAAACCTGGATTCACCCGGCACAATTCAGTTTAATTAAATTTGCCATCCAAGTATTTGCACGGAAATTTCAACGGACATAACACTTGTTTGAATAATGTTTTCTGAACAACTCATTTTTAAGATGCTTTCTTGAAAGTCACTCCATTTTCCTCTAACAAAACTGCAGAGGTTTGAAGGAACATTCCACAAAAAATAAATTCAAGTGTAGTTTAATAGTATATTATACAAAGCATGAACAAGATAATGACACTTCACATCACAGATTTAAGGATGGACATGCTGTATAATGGTGCATGTAAATCACAAATAGTGACAAAGACTTGGAATAGACAGGGCTTGTCTAAGGTTTGGTGATATTTTAGGCATCAAATATACCCAGCCTCTTCATCACACAAGACATGAAGGACAACAAAAAAATGTCATTGGAGTGGCACTTGAGTTTCTTAGATGGAAACATACACAAACAGGTACAGATAGAAATAACTTTACCCCAAGATAGGCAGGAAAGAAGCGCCTTGAGTCAGAAATTCTGTGTAATCACAGAATAGGTCAGGTTAGAAGGGACCTCAGAGGGTCATCTGATCCAAGCTACCTGCTCAAGTAGTGTCAGCCCAGAGCACATGGCACAGGATTGTGTCACGAGGATTCTGGAATATTTTTAGTGAGGAAGACTCCACCTCTCTGTGCAGTCTGTTTCAGTGCTCAGTCAGCTGCACAGTAGCAGAGTAGAGAACTTCTTCCTCTGTTTTAGGGGGAACTTCCTGTGTATCAGTTCCTCCCTGCTGCCTTTTGTCCCACTGGCTGCCATGACCAAGCAGAGCCTGGATCCATCCTCCTGACACCCTCTCCTCAGATACTGATAGACATTGATGAGGTCCCCTCTCAGTTGTCTCTTCTTGAGATTGAACTGGCCCAAATCCCTCAGCCTTTTCTCATAAGACAGATGCTCCAGTCTAGGCTGCAATACTATCAGACATACAGACTGCAAAATTATAGCAGTGCCACCCATTACAGACTGCATGTATGGAAAGACAACAATTCTAAAACTAACTAAGTGTAACTAGCCAGTCAACACAGCATGAAAAAGATTTTAGAAAGATCAATAAACAAATGAGAACTCCAGAAAAAACCACTAGCATTGCTGCTGGCATACTCATTTAAGTGTATTTTACACATTGTATTATTTATTTATAAGCATATGATCAATTTAAAACTATTTAGTTCTGTGTATCAATTAGTCAAAGAAATGAAACTTGGAAAGAAAAATCTTTTTTGTCCATTTATCAGCTACTGCACCACTTTGTTAGCACCCTGAAGTCTCTATTTTTATTCTAAGTCTTTTTTTCTTGTTATGTATCTTAAAACACCCAGAATCAATAGCAGTTTGAGTAGTGTTGCACTGCCATGTGAGACATGAGAGAATTCTCAGCCTTGGAAGAATGTTTTCTTTTTCTTCTCAACTATTCATGTTATCAACCTTTTAACTCCCTAGAAGCTGTTATGTTACCCAGTCCAACACTTAATGAGCACGGGAAAACCACCTACTTGTAAAGCGTGAATTCCTCTTGCCACAGCCATTTCTTCCTCATTCTTGGTACTGATGCAAATAAGTGTTTCTTCCATCTTTCTACCCCCACCCATTTCAACTGAGCTCTCGTAATTCTATATTCTTCACAACAGACCTTCTTCATTTGCATATAATACAGTACCAAGTCAACCACAAAGAGAAGCAACTCCTACTTCTCCATTCTCCCTGGTGGAAAACTGGCCAATGCCACAGGAAGGCCCAATAATGGATACAATTCTTCACATTCAGATCCCAGGCTCTGCATACTGGTGCAGTACCACAGGTTACCAAAAAACCCTAGCCAAATCCACCCAATCCAAACAAAAAAACCCCTCATATCACACTGCACTTCATAGCCACTGAGGGTTATTTATCTTCCCTTTATGCTTTTCTGATGTTACAGTCATCCTGGCATGATTACTACATGTTGCCCTTTTGGCTCCCGAGCTCTCAGAGGAGTTGCCTATATACTCCCTCTGTAGAAGTGCCCTTCACAATTCCTGTGGGGTAACAGCAAGCACATGGGCACTCACTACACTGGTAGTTAGCAGAAATAATGCACTCTGGAGTTTACCCCAAGGTAACGTGTTGATGTAGCCAGATGTTTAACTTCAGAGCCATTAAAGCCATAATTCATCACCCCGGTTTTGAGTCTGCAGTTATATAAGACTCTACATTTAACAACTGTCTCAAGTAAGAAACAGAGCATCTCAATTATCTACAAAGAGAAAATTAAGGAATCTATTTTATAATTCTAAAAACTGACTTGGCTCCATTTTTAACTGACAAACATTCACTCTGATGACACAATATTAGCTCTGAATAACTGTGCAATGTAAATGCTATCTGAGCTGACACTTGCTACTGCTCACACAAACTGCAAAATAAATATTTCAGGTCTAAACCGTTTCAGTTTCCTAGATGAGAGACAGGTTAGGTTTCTGGGTGAAATGTGAAGTTAATGTCTTCGCTTTAAAAAAGAAATCAAAAAATCAAATCTTTGTATTTCCTCAGTGAAACTTATTTTCCATATTTCAACTCTCAAACAATAAATAACCTGTTCCAATTGACCCCCCTGCTCTGTCTGCCATTTGGGTTGGACACATAAAGGAAGTCTCAGAAAAAGCCCATATGAATACATATGATTTTGTTAATCAAACATTCAACCGGCCATTGACCAGGAGCCCCAGGCTGCTTTCCAGTATTTCATTCCCCAGTCCATCCTTACATCCAGGGTTGCCCCATCCCAGGTGCAGAATTTGGCACTTTGTTAAAATTCATTCAGTTGGTGATTCCCCAGCCCTCTAATGTATTGAGGTTTTCCTGGAGAGCCTGTCTGCCTTCAAGGGAGCTAACAGCTCCTCACAATTTAGTATCATCAGCAAACAATGTGTTAAGCAGCAAAAAGTTAAGACTGTCATATAAATGTGAATATTGGACATTGTCCTTTCCCATTTTAAACGGTTCTCCTCCTGCTGTTTCTGCCACTTTCCTCAGTTCCATTCTCCTTGCAGTGAATTGCTCGACTAATTGCAATCATCAAAAAAACCTGCAAAACAGTGTGGAACGGACCTGCAAACACTCGTGCATTTAATCTTCCAATTAAACAGGATCAGCTTTCCAGTTCTAGCAGAGATCTGTTATTCTCAAAGATCCTCCAACAGATTACTTAGCCTTCTCTTCTTTTGACTAGACAGCTCCAGTTTCTAGAAAAGAACACCAAGGCTTTTGTGGAAAAAATAGAAGGTTTTTGATAATTCCTTTATCTTGGAGTTGAGCTGCTGTTTGTTATTTTTTAAATGCAGTGGCCAAGGTGATATTTTGGCTAAGAGCAATGCTAAATTAAGTCAGAGTAGTACTTTACGTATCTTGTGGACAATCTCATTAACACACTTAAGTATGATATTTGCCTCTATTGCAAAAGCATCCCATGACTACTTCATATTCAGTTTATGGCCTGCTTCAGAATCCAAATAGTCCTTCGAAAGACTGACACAATGAATTATTCCCTGGCCTTTATTTGTAGAGCTGATATTTAATATAGTAGATAATGTCTAGTAGAGTTTATAACTGCAGTAATTTTAATTCTGCTCTCAGAGTGACAGTTCCTCTCTCGTTGGTCTCATTTCCAAATTTAATAAATACACTTCACTCTAGCAGACTGCTAATAAAAGTATTAATTAGTTATGGATACAGAGATGAACTCTGACAGAATCCTTCTCAGTAAATCACATTTTTAAGATAAGCTTCTCACATCTATTCTCTGCAAATGCTTCCAAACAGTTCTGTATTCACCTGTCATTAATTTTATCAGAACTGTATTTCTTTACTCATTAAACAGTCAAAAGACTTTTTTAAAAAAATGCAGGTTTAGATAGTGTTTTGTCATGATAATTAGAAGAGAAGATTTTATTTTTTGCTCTTTAAAAAAACAGTCAAGTCAACACAAGTCTTAACACTGAGGCAAAAGCAACAGAAAGAAGCAAACCTGCTGGTCTGGCTTATTCTGTTCTAACTAGAACCAGAAAGACTGGCATTCACTGTGTGTACAAAGGCTCACCAGCCTATCTATGCCAGCAAAAAACAAAGAGTTACAACAATTATTCAGGGTAAACACTATCTTAAACTGTTTTTTTAAAGTTTTGTCTTGTAGTATAAATGAAAGAGAAACAAAAGTGTTAATTGGCAAATACCACTTGCTACACGCTTTCAGTTTTCTAAGTGTAGACAAAGGAAGGGAGGAACAGTTGAGTGTTGCCCCAGCTTTTTACACCACCACAGAGGGGATCATAAACCTGGACCTGAACGCAGATAAAGTTTTAATCCTTCTTCTCCCATCCCTCTCCCCACTTAACAGTTCTGCAATGTGTTCCTGAAACAATAAACAAAATTGCCTCTATACAACTCAGCACATGGCCACCAGCACAGTCCATCAGGTAGTGCTTTCCATTTTTTACAGTTTCTGGAGTCTGGATATATGTTCTTTAAATCAACACTAATGAAGTAAAATAGTAAGTTTTGTCATCTCATTTAAGAGTTAATATCAGATTTTTTCCAGTGTCTTCAATAAAAAGGCTTTTGAAAGAAAAACAAAATTGTTATTCTTGATCCTGAGAAGTATGCATAGCTTCTCTAGTGGTTATTCTACACTATCTGATTTATTTTATCAGTTCCTAGGAGAATACAAGGAAAATGAAGGAAAGAACAAAACCCACAAAGTCTTTTGTACTTTTTTTTTTCCTTTTAACTGATGGAAAAAACACTTCTCAGTTTCAGATCACTGAAAAGATTGTCCTTCAAATTAAAACAAAACTCAGTCTCTTCTTTCTTCAGGAGGAATACACTGGTGGTTCCAATCTATTTTCAGCACTCCACTCACAAATTAAAATTCATCTAATATGAAACAGCTACCTTCCTGCTGTCATGGTAACACAGTAGTAAGCATTGAGCAAAAGCTTTCACGTATAGTCTCATGCCAAGTTCTCTTGCATGCAATTCTGCACCCAGGCACCAGGAGGAGTAACAACAATGGGAGCAGCCACCTGTCTGGCACACCTCTTGGCCCCGTGAGAAGGAACAAAAAATTGCAGAACACAGTCAATCTGATACGTTCTGGTATTTAGCAATCCAGGCCTCGGTATAATCCGAGAAGTTAAAAGTACTCTCTCTTTTTCTACTAATGTAACAACTCCCAATCCCTTGACTTTGACAAAGCATTTTAGCGTCTCTTAGTGGATGGATTCTTTTCCTAGTATGAGCTCAGGCTGCAAAGCCCAAACTGGACATTTATTCAATGTTTACTTTGTAAATCATCTATAACAGTAGATGAGCAGGAGCCCCAAAACCTCCTATATACAAGTCATTACTGTACACAAGAAGCATTATCCTGTCCTACAGGATAACAGACAAATTTGCCACAAGCTACAGGATTTTGCTTAGCTGAAATAAAAGTAAGAACACACAGCTCTATTTAAAATGTTTCACATACTAGTCAACAATCAAATTCTAAGAAAATACCAAGCAATGTTCCATGGAATCTGCCCTGGGTCCAGTACAACTATTTTTTTCACAGATAACCTGAACTGTGGAACAGTCAGTTTCAGTTGCTCACAACTGATCTGAGAGTGATGCCAAATCAGGGCAGGGTGGGAGGAAGATGCTGCAAGAAATTGCAGTATTAGAATTCAATATGATTCAAGGGAGTGTATGGTAGTAAAGAGAAATATAAGCATCAGCATTTCCACAGAGGTAACAAACAGCACAAATACAAGTAAACAACTAGTAACTCCAGGAAGCCTGTAACACAGAATAGGCAGCAGGGGATCACAAAGGAGCGAAAGTCAATGTTGTGCCAATTACAAAAAAACAGTACAAGCACACAAACAAAAGAACAAAACCAACAAAAAAAAGCCAAGCAAGACCCAAAACCAACAAAATATCAAACCCCCACCAAAAAAAGTCAATAGCCTAAACAAGAGTTTACTACAACCTCAATAAAATCTACTTGATTTATCCCTGACAAAGCCATTGAACCGCTCAGTCTATTTTGGGCTTAGTTCTTTATAACTGAGACACCTCTCATGTAATTGGGATATAGATATACAAAGCATGTCCAGAAAGACATCTATAAAGAAAGTTAACTATGACTTTTTTTTTTCTAAGCTAAAGAATAAAACATTGGTAAGTAAAAGAATGATTTTCAAATATTTAATAGTTTATGTCAGGGAAAAAACCTCAGCTTATTATTACTTGCTCCACTTCCAGAAGCCACAGAAGAGCTCAAGCTGCCACCAAGATCAACTGTTTCACAGTCAATTCCCTCTTCTCTTTTTTGTTTTATGGGCTCAAGAGAATTTAAATTTAGCAATACCACATCTACTGCTCTTCGCTCAGCACTTTGCAACACTCACCTGCAGGACCTAAAGATTGCAGGACCTACTTGGCACACAAGATTACTTTCTGGTTTTCTGAAGTCATTCCATTCCCAATGGCAAGGCCACTCTCTTCCTATTTAAATCTCAACAGCATTTTGCTTTATTCTGCTGTACAGACTCCGTGGTATGTCTTGGATGCCAACTGCATGCAGGAATTCTGAATGACCAACATCTCTCCTCTTTTTACTATTTATTTTCCTCAGGGACTGAAATAGTTTAGCACCTCATTTCATGACTTTACAGTTCAGATAGCCCACCAAAAACTAGATGTTTATGACTAATAGGAATTTTAGAGTTTCAAACACGTTTAAAACAAGTTTCACAGGTGTAAATCTGTCACAGGAGATTAAGAACTGAAAATTAAACACCAGAGATCTGCATGTAGAGATCAAACACTACAGTATGTACAAATCAACCCAAAGCCCTGAAAATTAAACTTCATTTACACTCACTGCATTTATTCAGCTTAGGTTCAGAAGCATGGAAAATGACTTCATAGGTTGTTTGTTGAAAATCAAAAAGGATCACCTAATAACAAAACACTTCATAAGCTATTTCCTTAGTAAGCTGGAATGCTAAGAAGATATTTCTTTAAGAAAGCAATAAATTATTAATATGCTATAAGACAAATGTTAAATATTGGCAAAAAGTAAAAAACAATTAAGCTTTGTATTATAAATAACTGTAAGTAAAAGCGTGCAATTGCATGTTTCAAATACATTATTTACCTGCAACACCATTCAATTCGGCCTTCCCCTTCACAAGTTTTTGCCCAGTGATTATCTGCAAGGTTTTTCATTGCCACAGCATATTCACACAGAGTTTCCTCATCCTCACAGTGCTCACGCCAGATCTTATCAAAGTCTCCCACTAAACAAAACAAAACAAAAAAATTGCACATCAGATACAAAGTCTCTCATTATCTCCATAGCAAAATCCCCGTCCAGTTTAAAAGCTACATAAGGCACCAAGAGCTTATTTTACCTGCACATAACAAAAACAAGTTCTTCTTTCTGTAGTCATAAACACAAAATTCCAAGTTTTGGGGCAGGAAGGGGCTGTTGGGTACTTGAGAAACTAGAAATATCAGTACATGGATTTTGTTCCATTTATTCTGTGAAATTAAAGTCCCTGGGAAGTTTTGCTTTCCGGTCTCTGTGATGAGCATTTAACACAACGTTTAAGAAATGAAAGATTTAAAGGTTTCTTGCTAGCATTCATATCCATGGCAAGTACTGTAGATGACATTACATGAAAAAGCCATGAAAGTTAAACCCACAGTATAGATTTCTTTGGGTATACTGAAGAAGAAATTCAATCTCTCATTGATTGCTGTCTAATCTAGCCAGGTCCAGTAAATTAGCTTCTAGGGATAGTACTGAAGAATCAAACCAACCATGATCAGGAAATCTCAGACAAACTCCTCTGCTGGTCTCTAGGGACAGACTTATTTCCATGCTCCTCACCTTGCTGAAAAGAAGTCTTGCAGGTTAAGTTCTGGCTCTTCAAAGTAATTAAACATGATGATTTTCCTCCTTTGCTGTTAAGTATCTACTTCTCCTAGCTTGCTTTACAAAATGTACTGCTAAACAAAACCAAGATAAATGCTAGTCATGGCTAGCCCCATTCCCTATACAGCATGCAAACCCTTGGTGTACCTTACTGAAAGGATATTTCTGCCCTAAGAAAGATGCTTTCCTGGTATGACGTTCACTGATTACTTTTGTGTTTCTTTACCACAAATGTGTGCACATATCTAGAATATATGCCAATCTGCAGAATAAAAAATATTACTGATTTTGAACTTACAAGCTAATACAGCTTAAAGTAACTTTTCAAGAACACAGCTATATTTTAAGCTTGAACTTGGACAAACAACACACTTTTCACAATATGGTTCCATCTTGTACCATCTTTGTATGAGAAGGAAATATTTTGAAAATATATCAGCCATAAGCTAATAATAAATGTCTGTTAAAGCCTGACAGTAGCTTACAGTATGACCTGTCCTCAAGCCAGTAAGAGATTGCTGTTTCTAACACGCTTATAGCAATTTCTTTGATGTACTTTGTTTCAATTAGCAATAAATCAAGGACTTTTTCCAGCGACAACCTTTTTATTTTTTCCCTCCTATGCAAAGCAACAACAGTCCTCACCTCATTTGTCCTCCGCTTACAGAAAGACTGGCTCTGATGGACAAGTATAGATGTATACTTAAAAGATTTAAATCAACCATCCAGGTTACTCCCTACTTAGGTTTGGTTTAGGGATGTCATAGCAATTTTCAGAAATAAGCATCTAGTACACTAGTACAATCATCAAAGTGAGTCATGTTTAAAATTAGGTGTTTATACTCCCTAGTCTGAGATGGCATTTGAGATGGAAGGGAGTGGCTGCAATTTAATGTTATCAAAATGGGGAAGCTGTGCAAGAAATTTTGTATTCTACTTGCTATTCAACAAGCATATATGAAAAAGTTGTTACACTGTACAGAAAATAAAAGGTATAATACTGAATGACATCCCTCATTATTTTCCAAATGATCCGAGTTCAGAGAGGTGTGCTTTATAAGAAATGGTACTAGTAAGGTCACCAGCCGACCACCAGAGCAAACACCCAAGTTGCACCCAACCCACAGGGGGTTCTGCTAAAACCTGTGGGGCACTTTTCCAGATCTTTCAGGAGAGCCTTGTGTAGAAACAAACATGCAGAACAGGACATACCCTACTGACAAAAGAGAGCAGAAAATGGCCACAACGGTGACCTACCAGCACAGGGGACAAAACAAACACAACTCCTAGCAATCGAAGCACTAGCAAAAATTTGAAGTGATTCTCAATAGCAAATGAATTCTGGTGCAGCTTAGACAAAGCGTTGAAGTTTCTCCAACAAAATACTCTGAGTCCTACTGCATGCTCCAGACAGCTGTGAAATGCTTCAATGACTCACAGTTGCTAAAGATTTGTTTGAATACGTGGCCGACTGGAAAGGTAAAAAGTAAATGAATGAACACTTACTGAAGAAAAATATCACAAATGAAAAATCAGAAGTTTATTACTGTTCTTTTATTTCAATACTTCACCTGGTCTATCCTGAAGCAATTATTCTATTTTCAAATACCCCTTTTCCTTAAAGCTTAAGAAAGAAGAGAGATGGGAAAGAAGAAATATGCAAAGACCAGATGCTCTTAACTAGCCACCCTTAGTAACAGCAAAGTAGTGATGCCTTCTAAGAGCGAATCCTGCACTCACAGCAGCTGCTCTGATTTCCTTCCAAACAAATCACAGATTTGCACGAGTCCCTGGAAGTCAGATGAGGGTTAAAAGCTTCAGCCTTCAACTGAGACATACAGCAACAGACCAGAGCTGACTACCAGCACACTGGGATGTGAACTTTGGGTTACAACAGAGCTGCCTATAAGAGTAACAGCTTCTTGGCTCTAAGCTGACAAGAAAATTGAATTATACAGACCACGAGGAGAGAGATGCAGAACAAAAGCGAAAAATTCATCACAAAGTAATTCTGTCATACATCCTATATTAAGTCAATTCTGTGAGCACTTCTGGTTTATTTTCATTTTCCAATACCGAGATACAGAAATTGTCTACACGGGACAGATGCAGCCCTGCTTTTGTATGAGGAGCACTGAAATAGAAGAAGACAGATGAAACAAGGAGAGGATAAACTTACACAAGATCACAACTGACAGAGGGAAGGTAAATATGGAACAACTTGTGGCTGTTCCAAGAATATGAGACAGACCTGCTTAAAAGAAAAAAAAAAATTTCCTTATAAAATGTATAACTAAGCTTAAAGTTCATGATGGGCAAACTACAGGAAGAAAATCCATGACAAACTCCATATTCAAAGATGAGATTTCTAACTCAGGAGTTCCTAGACCACAAAATCACTAAAATACAGAATGGTAAGCAAGCACAGTGATACTCCAGCAGCATTTTTCACTTATTCTTGTCTAAGCATCTGCTGTTGACCCACTGTCAATACTGATTTTGATACGATGTCCATTTCTCTGCTTTTTATGGATATAAGCTCCAAACAACTGCAGATAATGGGTCATCTTAAGGCACTGGTACCATTGTGCAGGGCCTTTCAAAGGGTCCGGTATCTAACTGCTTGCTGAGCAAGCAGCATGGCAGTGTATTGTTTTGCTATGGTTTTTCCTCCCCCATACTTAAAATAGTGAGCTTTGAGAAGACACAAACAGGCACACCAGATATAGGAACTTGAAATCCAGAATCATGCTCCAATACAGAGATGAAAATACAAACAGTCCTTCCTATATGTTGAGATTTTGAGATAGTGATTACAACAAGTCTTGAAGCATGCAATTTCAATCTGATATCCAGAACACAGAAAAGTTACGCATCAATTTTTTCAATCAGTATATGATTGAAATCCACTGTGCACTAATTTTTCAAGAAATACATTATAATCCAGGTGCAATTAATTCTATACTCTAGAGTTAAACATTTATTTATGAATCAATAAATGTTTTGCTTATGTAACCAAACAGGCAGTAAAATATGCAGGAACATTTCATGACAAAACTAGTAGTTACTAGAGAAATAAGATACATAAAGTCTTCTATTAAGCAAGCAGTTTGTGGTATGTAAATCTAATAGAATAAAAAGAAGAGTCTTGGATCTTTGACCACATCCTAAAATTAATATTTGATTTTGTGTATTAAAACTTTTTATACTCATGACCATACGATAACATAAAGTTGAAGGCATTAAACACTTCTACTCTACACTTACTGGTTACCTTTTATGCAATTTAAAACTTCTTCTGAGTGCTGAACCTTCAGAGATCTTCACAGGCCTAAGATCTCCATCAAGGAGCCAGATATGCCACTGTCCAGCTGAAAAGTGTCATTGGCAAAACTAGCTCAAAATTGCAGTTTCACACCCCTCTCAAAGCACTATACCCACATTATTTCAAAATTAATGCTTGCTCTATTTCATTCAGAATTAGCTAGAAAATAAATAACCCACTCTTCACCTTGAAGGTTAACTATTCCCTTAAAAACAAAAAAGGTCAAAGCCCACTGCTTCCTAGAATTCTGTCACTGAACAAATGACTGATCGACTTGTTCTTCGTAACACAGACTTTACAGTAACAACAATCCAATACTACTTACCTAGAACACATGAATCCTTCTAAGTAATTTCCACCCACATTAATATTGCCCACAGAACAGCCATGTCATAACCCTGAACTCAACCACGGACGTATCAGCAGTTGCTGAATACTGTCACACAGAGAACAGGTCAGGCATGTAGAAGTTATTTTTAAATGATACTAATTACAAGATAATTTTAATTGTGGGTAACAGCAATAGAGCAAATGTTAGCTGTAGATTTTAACAACCAAAAATATTTTTAAAAGACAAGAATCATTCAAAATTAGTAAGAACTCCCCTAGCTCTGCATTTATTTACAAGTCCTTATCAGAGATTCTCAGAACACCATGAGAAAAGATCAGGTTTGCCATTCTTGGTGAGACAAACCTACACCATAATTCTTATCTCCAAGTAGTCTGTTATTAAGAAAAAAAAAATGCAGCTTTCTTCCATCCCATTAAAAAATTACTTTACTTTAAAAAGTAATTTATTTATACAGTGTTAAATTGAACTGTCATTTAAGATATGCTTATAAAATAAACAAAAAAAAATTAGGCAGTCTTTCTTCAACTTCTGACAGAACAAATCATGTCAACTGGTATTTTAAGAAAACACAACTTTTTGCAAAAAGAAAAAATTATAAAAGAGATAGAGCTCAGTTCTGCTAAAGGCAGTATTTTTCATTTTGTAATGGGATGAAACCAAAAACAACTATTTGAATAACTCT